TTTTTTTTGGTATACGACATTACTCTTGGAGTAAAAGAGCTAGAGCTCTTGTGGAACATTACTTGCTTGTTAATACAAAGAAGAACTCAACACTTTAGAACCATTTTCAGGTGTGCATTGTTTGTTTAGTCGCTAACTAAAGAGAAATGAAATTTGCTGTCAGATAACAGGAAATGGCATCTCAGGGGATTCAAAAATCCAAAATTTCCTGGGGGAGCATGCCCCCATACCCCCCTAGGAAGGACCGAGCTTCGCTCGTTCCGTGAAAGAGCTTCGCTCTTTAAAAAATCATTCTCCTGTTACTTTACACTACTCTCCTGCTATTTCAGATGTTAACGAAAACCCTGCAAATTTAAAAGCAGTTTTGAACGATTTGTGTTGAATATCTTTACAGTATGCTAATAAATTTTCTTATGCTAATTAACTATGCTAATCAACTATGCTAATCAATTATGCAAATTAATGTCCGACCAAAATAAAGATTTGAAAGGACATATGTCCTGTTAAAGAAGAAAAATTATTTCCGGCCTTGAAACAATGTTTGCGGAAAATTTTTCAGTTTGTGAATGGAAGACAAATCTCAACCTAGCAGCGCTCTTTGCATTTAATTAATACTGTCTTCTCATTGAAACATACATTTCTTGGAATCAATATTCAGTTTGAATGGGTTTCTCTGTTAAAACCGAAGAAATTATGGACAGCTAGTTATAAATGAGAACACTGCTGATTTTTGCTGTCATGTTGCAAATGCCTTTTTCACTAGATTGGAGCTAATTTGGCCTACCGGTATATCCAGGCCGAAAATGTCCAAAAATGCGTTGTTTTTTCCAAAAAGCTCCAGGTGTCAATGAGTTAAACAACTTTGAGAATAGTGAGAAGAGTTTAGGAGAGACTAATGGGAAGGGTGGGTTACATTCCACAAAATTCCATTGGTTAATGTTAACAATGCACTAAGTGTAAATATGTGACCACTGATACTAAAAATTACCTGGCAGGAGAAAAACTGGCAGGAGAGAAAGGAGCTGGGCCAGGACTGCGCCCAAGAGATGCATGACGTTTATTGATAGCTGCTTCAGGAGTTGTATGAGGTCTTTTAGTAGATAACTTGATGAGGAAAAAGCAGCATTGTTAGCATCAGGTTTAAAAAAAAACAGAGTTTACTGGCACCCCTTGCCACTGCTGAGTCTCTGTATGTTTATCCATAAAAGCCATCACACGATGTTCTATGTTGCCTTTGTATACCAACAAGACAAAAAGCGATGTGGGTGTCATTCTTACAAAACATTGCAATAAGGGCTTCTGAATATCTAACTTGAAATGACTGCTTCAACAGACTTTGGTAATTCAGACACAATTTCCTGAGATAAGAGCCAGAAATGGCTATTTGCAGTGTTTAATAGCCTTTTTAGGGGAAAATACAGAGTCAAAAGGGTAAATAGCATACATCTCCATCAAGATAACAAAGGGTACCAGGCTAACTGTGACTAACTACCACCGTTCATAATTGTATCATAGTAAATGGTTTGAACCCGGGAGTATCAATAGTTTGTCTTCTGTGATCATCTGGGTGAGGGTAGTTCTGAAAAGAACTGTTGACAGTTCTACCTTCACCTGGACGATCACTCAAGATGAACTCATGATTCTACGCCACTACTCCTCATTTGCAGTCAATTACTGTTGGATCATGTGTACTAAAGGCATCTGTTGTCAAGTGTCCATCGAGACCCTTGATCGGTGGCCATGATTGACACCTTGGTTGACATTCGATCAACACTCCATTGACATCTTGGTCGACAGTCAGTTGAGAGTCAACTAATTTTTGATGGATATATATGAGTCGGTCAACACTCGGCCGTCACCGGACTGACAGTTGATCAAGTGTCAATGGAAATGTTGATCCAGTGTTAAGTGAGTTTCAATGGAGTATCGATTGCGTGTCAATCGAGATGTTGATCAAAGCTATTGGTCGACACTCGACTGCAGATGCCTTAAGTACACATGATCCAAATTGTCAATGCTGGGGTCTTTATTACATACTCTCATACCATATTGTCATACCTTATTTCCAGGGGTTTGGTAGCATTCTAACAAATCTTCATATTCTTCACTGATACTATATGTAGATAGACTGGTCAAGATTCAATACAGCATACCAGGATTACCCTTCAACATTCAAAAACCATTCTTTAAATTACGATATTAAATTAAAATATGACCTACCAGAATTTTAGCAATTCAATATATTTCTGTATTTTGTTTTATAATGTGCACAGGAAGGGTTCCCAAAAAATGTTCTTTTTTTTTTTCATTCACCCTTTTTGAGTAAAACTGCCATTCAAATCTTGCCAATAACTATACCCATCCAAGTTGATTTGGGATTGGTAGAACCTTTGAAAATTGACTTGTACAAGAATGTCACAAATATCAGTAGACTTAAGATCATGGCAGAAGTTTATGTTAACTGAACACTGTTTTTTTTTTTTCTAGCTCATTACCCCTCAGGGATTCAAAAGTCATAAACACTGTTACACTTTGGTCATGTGCAAATGCAAACTGGAAATTCAGACACCTTTTAATATCTTGACCTAGGAGAAAAGAACTACTTTTTCGACATTTTTTTAATAGAATTTTCATTACTCACTGAAAACTTCCCCTAAGTGACAACTGTCGCACTGGTTTTCCAAGAACAACAGAACAGCAGTGAACATGTTAACAGTTTAACACATATTATGCATTGCTAAAACTTACTACTAGAACTTTTAATATCTGCTATACAGATTGCACAATCTAAGTGTTGAAAAATTCATCATCTGTATAACAGAATTTTAGAACTTTAGGACATCCTTTTCTGAATTAGAGAAAGTCAGAAGTGCCCATCAAAGATGGTGCAATGTGGTTGGTTTACGGTTAGCAGAAAAAAATCTACAGAGAGCCTTCTCTGAATCTCATATCTAGAATACAACACAAAAGATATACACCTCTACTATAATAAACTTGTGATACTAATAATAAGATTATTTCAAAGTTTTAATGCTGGAGAATAATTTTCATGTTAATGATGAAACTAAGGATACACTTCATCGATGGTGTCTTTACTAAACATCAAGGGCTTGGTCTCCTCTAGTTTAATGCTCAGCTGCTTCTGTTTCTTTTCCTTAGACAAAGATTGCTTCAGAAAATAATAAAAAAATGTATTGACAAGGAAATATACTATAGGCAGCAGATATTAATACTGTCACTGTCATGATGTTTTTGTTTGCAATTTGGATCTTGTGTGCTTAGGGCAGCTACAGCTCTATCAACATATAAACATAGGTGATACACTCTTCTTTCGCATCCCCTATGGATAGGGGAAGGGGCTAAGAGATGGTTGCCATTTCAGCAAAACAACAGTGAACAATACACATATACCACCAACAGTTGACCGATATGATGCTGACTGTTGGTCACAATGTAACAGTTGAGGTGTCGGCTGAGTGTTTATAGATATGCCGACCAAGTGTCGACTGATAGTGGCAACCGATGGTCTACCAACTTGAATAACATGATGACCAATACTCTCCCAACTTGCAGTTGACATATTGACCGAGTATCAGCTGACACTCAATCGACACAGGGTTCCAGATAATTTTTCAATACAGGGACTTGATAAGGAATTCCAGCAGGTCAATTCCCACTGCTCCCATCAAATCTGCTCGAGGAATTGTTTCTGTCTCTATCCCTACTCTTGTTTCAAGAACCACCAGAGAGAAATTTCCCTTTATTTGCTGGGTTCTGATATAAAACCTGTTAGACTGCCATTGCTGTGTCATAAAATTTGACCTTCCGCATGTTTCTTACTAATGAAAAATTTACCCCCAAAAAGGTGCTTGTTTTAAAATTGTACCCCCCTCCAAAACCCCCCCCCCCCCCCGGATGTAATAAACCATTGGTCCCTTAAAATAGAAAAGGTGGTCTACTTTGAAGATGTAAGGGGAGTTCTTTGGTCAACATTACAAGAACAGTTACAGCCAGGTTACACAAGCAACCATACAGTGGTAAGAGTGGTAAGAGTGGTGACCATACTACCCAAACAACTTGGTATATGCTTTGTGTTGAAAAGTCTGGGTGCGACTTGTTTTGCCAATCTATAGCAATTGATGAGCACTCCTTGTGTGACTATCAATTCATCATTGATTGACTAATACCAATTGATACCAGTTAACTAATTTTATCGATTTCCATCAATTGGACACCCCGGGACAAAGAAATGCCTGCCGTTCCAGGGGGGAAAGTTAAAGTATTAAGTTGACAGGATACCAGAAGTCTTAGTTAAGCTTTTTGGTTGAGTTTGTGTCCATAAACTGTAAACCAAGACACATGTACAGTCATCAACAACTCAAATCACGTTATATTGTATAAGCTTTCTTCTTACCTTTCGTTCAAAGTCTTCCAGGGAAGAAAGATCCGGTTCTTGATTACAGCCAGCAGATGTTACATGGGCAATCCATTCTTCAACTAACTCTGTAGCACTCAGATGACACAAAATGCAGATTTCTTTCACTAAATGATGGAATATGTATAAGAAGGCTTCAATTCTGTTTTACGAGTGAGCTTATCTAAAAGGTTGATAATATAAGCTTTTTGATGGCAAGCTTAAATCTACCTACATTTATCTAAGACGGACAAGTCGTCTATAGTAACAGAAAACTCCTCAAATTCTCGTTCAATCTCCTGGTCTGTCACCATGTTGGATTCTTTGGCTTTGGCGCCAAACGCTATGATTCATTGCGAGGCTAATGGCGGCCGAGAAAGACTGGAAACGGTTGCGTCGTTCGGCTGCAGAAATTCGAGCTTCGAATCGCTAGCGTTAACTGTCTGGGCTGAAAAGGGGTGAATATCATCCTAAGAATAACTAATTCGGTGGATCGTGATGGCTGCGGATGATCAGGAATATTATGGCTACTACTATGACACCGAGGAAGATAGAGGGTTGCTTGATCCTGCATGGGAAAGGCAACAAAAAAAGGTAGTATCGTCTATCTATAGTGACACAGTAAAATGATTGCATGATTGATTTGCTGTTCTCTTTAACTTTATTCACGGCATTTTTTCTTATTCTCAGAAGCTAAATGTCCTAACAACCGTATGCTTCGCTTATTTATTACGCAGACTTTTACAGCATGGTGTAATTCTCATTTAAGAAAATTAAACAAGCAGATTTCGGAAATCGAGGTCGACTTTCACGATGGTTTGTTGCTGATGGCATTGTTAGAGGTAATATCAGGAGAAAGACTTCCCAAACCCGAGAAAGGACGATTGCGGTTTCATAAGATTGCCAACGTCAATAAAGCCTTAGATTTTGTGGCTGGCAAAGGAGTGAAACTGGTGTCCATTGGTGCGGAAGGTACTGGTGGAAGTGAATATTTTGTGGGGTGTTGTTTCACATTCAAAGCAGGCACGGGCTCGTAAATATCGATCTAATCCGTTATTCCCTTTTAGAAATCGTGGATGGCAACCTCAAAATGACACTTGGAATGATATGGACGATAATCCTGCGGTTTGCGATCCAAGATATAGCTGTAGAAGGTAAAACTTGGTTATTTTCAAGTGAAATACTCTCTTACTACTGGTAAATTTATGCGAATTTCAACGATAATTGTCGTTTTTTCCGCGTTATTTGTCAACAGAATCGTTTGCAAAGGACGGCCTGTTACTCTGGTGTCAGCGGAAAACAGCCCCATATAAAAATGTCAACGTGCAGAACTTTCACACAAGGTAGAGTACTGGTTGTTTTGCTATTGATAAAGTTTGAGAGTAGTTGCAGTCACATGTATCCATTATTATGTTACATGCTTGCACGTCTCTATCCTAGGCTGTAGCGACATTTAATGTGCATTCTGTCAACTGTCTTGCAGCTTTAAAGATGGATTGGCATTTTGTGCTCTTATTCATCGACATCGGCCGGACCTCATTGATTATAATTCTCTGAGCAAGGTAAGTTGTAGACAATCACCCAACTCCCCGGGTTGCTGTTTTAAACTATGCGACGAACACGATTGCTGTACCCACTCCAAGAGGGTGTGTCAGTTATTAGATGCGTGTCATTTTGCATGTAGGCGTGATTTTATTTCCGTGATCACTGATTGCTGTTAGTATCATAACGAGCGTTTATGATTCTTATCAAGAGCTAATATATCGTCAGTGCTAAAAACATCGAGAATGGCGTTGGAGCTATTTAGTTTAGTCACGCACGGATGCGTAGGGAGCTTGTTAAAAATGTTATTTCCTGTGTAACACATTGACCATTAATGGAAACATACAGGTCCCCATTGTTAATCAATCAATGATATTTATGTTATGTTTGCCATTTTTACACAGATTAAAAGTTCTTAGTTATTTTCATTCCTTGAAGACGTTGCTATTTATAAGACATTGTTGATCGTTGTAGGAGGTCCTGGTGTATTTTTGTAAAGTAATTGATTCTTAAGTAAATTATCTAGGAGTCCTAATGATTTTATGTTAAAATAGTTTGCTGATCATAATACTACACCAACTGAATTAATAGCACACAAGTAGATAATCCTGTTTAACAGTAACTACGTGTATAACAGGTGCAGGCATTTAACAAGATTGTTTTTAGTGAATATTCATGTTAAGAACAACAAGACTCTGATAGCAGTCTTTAATCTAGAAACTAGATGCTCCTGGAACATTTGCTCGGGTATCACAATATGGGATTGTGCTTTACTAGTATTGAACATACTAAAAACAAATAAAAGAATCAGGATATTAAACAGTTAACCTTAGAATCTATTTCTATTCAAGTTGCTTCATTGAGTTTCCTCTTTATTCCACTGCATGTTGATTGCCTCACCTTCAAAGTTCTGTTCACAAAGATTCTTGTCTTGTCTTTTTTTTTTCAACATCTGAGGTGTTCATCTCAGCATCATAGTTTGTTGTTAATTATAGTAAGTCCTTATATATGCCTCATTTACAAGTTATCTGATGGGAACTGGCGTGAACTTTTGCTAGCTTTCATGCTATAGAATTCATGGACTTACACATTCTGAAAACGCTTCACATCTTTGTATGTGAAGTGATTACATGCGGCATGATTCTTCCCAAAGCTTTCAAAACAGAGCATTCGGTAAATTGTTTTGTTCATGAAAAGTGTGCACATGATTGATTGGCAAGCTGTAGTAATTTTCATCCCCAGTTTCCTTAATTTCCCTTCCGCAAGGAACGGCTCAGGAATCATAACCCCTTATTTACAAGTACTGTGACCCCAAGAATTAAGAACAGCTTGGAATGAATTTTTTAGACTTGGGCTTTCCTATGGAAGCCCAAGTAATAAGTCAAAGTGGGTCATATGTCCCACATGACAAAAGTGGTCTGGGTCAAACTCTGATTTCAAAACTTTGACTATCTGATGTCATTCAAACCATTGCCAAATCAAAAAATATACTTTTTATGCTTTTCACAGTTTTGATTCCTTTATTGCAGTGAAAAGTCTGATTACAGAGTGGAAAATCGGACGTTATATGTATTCCTTTAGTTACTGCATACATTGTTTTTTTTTGTTTTTGTTTTTTCATTTTTCACCCAAATTGAGCAGTCTTTCTTGGAATTGTGTGGAATGCCTGGGACAAAAAGTACTCCTAAGCATGTACTGTATTTACACATGTATAAGTCAGTCTCGTGTATAAGTCAACCCCCCATTTTCAAGGCCTAAAATCAGTTTTTCTTCACTTCTGGCTAAGAAGTAAAAGGTGATATTTTCCCAAAAAGCTAATCTCACATTTCTGAAAAAGTTTGACAAGCACAGTGGACAGAAAAGCAGTTTAGCAATTTGAACAATTTATAAGACAACATATGAAAAATTAAACTATTATTTGTAATACGTGGCCGTCCACAGGACACCTTGAGGCCCATCCAGCTAAAAGCCTGCTGTATAAAGTTTATCAGCAATTGTCTTTGTGCAAACACAAGCAGTAATCACTTGATTTAAGGAATTTTTCCCATATTTTTAAATAAGCTGCATTGAAATTCAAATCTAATTGTGTTGAAGTAAGTAGAAAAGAGCTTTTATTAGAAGATCAAAGGAATACTAAAGAACTTTGAAGAACGGCTTGATTGCAAACATGCCATCTTGGAAAACTTGGTAACCAAACAAGGTGATAGTTGAATGAAAATGAAAATAGAGTAATGAGACAAACAACATCTCCTTAAGGTATCATGGTGGGAGCAATGACAGTGTTTGGAAATCATGCTTTTATGTGGGCACTTTGAAAGAAAACCCCATCAACCTATACATTTTCTGAAAGGTTAATAGTTATAGAATACAATCATATCTTTGAAATTTTCTAAAATGTTAATGTCACAGTGATATTGAAAGAAATACCCAGAAACACTGCCTCGCTTAAACTGGTTTGCCTCCCCACATCAATTATTGGAGCAGCACAATTAACATCAGAAATGGTTTCTCACGCATCACCCTCAAAAACGATGTCGGAGATTTTCCAGATTTGAGTTGTTTATTTTTCTACACTCTCCGAAAGTTTGTTATTTTCAATGCAGATGTTTCCTTCGACAAAAGAGGCCATAACTTTAAAATGGAAGCGAAATTAAACAAAGCCAGACAGCTTTTTTTGAAGGAGGTATTCTGGAACATGCCTGCCAATTTTCAACCAATTCTGTCGGAAGATATGCGTAAACGAACTAAAAATATTCATCCTTGTGTCCAGTTTTTTTAGTGAGAAAATGACAAAAAATCTTTTATGAGATTGGTATGATAAGGCGATAAAAATCCCCTCATGTCAGCATTGGTCAATTTACAACAACAATGGCTTATGACAACTTAAAATAAACAAATGTCTACAAATTCTGGCACGAAAACCCGTCGCAGTGTTATCGTCTGAGAAGCAACAAAACACCAGAGCTTGAAACACGTTTAAACTGTAAACTGCTGTGATTTCTTTTACTTAGAAGATTTTGTCAGCAGCATTGGTATTGTGTTGCTCAAGGTAATATGCCTAGAGCTTCGTTCTCTAGACATTTTTTGAAACCATGGCTTGAGAAGCTGTCAGTTTTATGCGACTAACACTTGTTGTAGTTTGTCCTTCGGCTTCATTGGCAGTACTAGTGTCTTTGAGTTCCTTCAACCATTCTTCTTGGTTAAAGTATAACCCACAGTCATTCAGAGCAAAAGCTCTTGTTTGTTCAACGCTGAACCCGTGGGTTCCAGACTTTCGCGTCTTTGGCTTCCTCAAGGACAAAAATGGGCAAGAAGTTTTCTTGCGTTTTTGTTGGCACACAAAGAAAATTTGACGTGAACGAAAGCTAACTTGCGATAAAAACAACCAGATTGAGAACTGTTTGTATGCATGTCTCTTTTGTTCAAATGAAATATCTTACCACAGGTTTCATTACATGTGACAACTGGTGGTGAATTTCAGTTACAGATGACAGGACTTGTCATTGTGCCGCAAGGGGTTAATGAGGGTCAAAAAATTTTTTCTTTATTTTTAAGTAAAAAAAGCTTTTTTTCCTATTCTTTTTACAAATATTTATCTCAGTTTTCTCAATTTAAACCGCAAAAAATTTTTTCGCATTTTTTGTAAAAATTCACCAACCATGTTATGAGTTTGTGGCCTCATTTAATGTTTTTTTGAGCTGAAAATTGTTAACATACCAAAATCAAGTGGGTGGGGACTGAAAAATAGTGAATTGCTATGGGAACAGAAGTTTTTATGGCTGTAGGTGTGATTCCTGTAGAACTATTAGCCTACCAAGTTTCAATGGTCTGTGCTGCTAATTGGCCAAGATAGCTCTATTTATATACTTGATATAATATTAGGTTGAGTGTATGATGTCATTGGTTGTCTCATTTGCATATTTTATTCATTTTTCATAATTAAATATCTCTGGAACTAATGCAGATGTTTGCAAATAGTAAACAACATTTTTATTCATTCAGTCTCTGTGGTACACTTAAAAAAATCAAAGGCTTCTCTTTGTGAATGATCAAAAAAGAGTCCAAGACATTGGGTGCACAAATAACCAATCATAGCAGGATGCAGTTGTGCTTTGATTGATAATAAAAATTTTGTAGTTCAATTACAGTAAGATAAAAATCCAAGAATTTATTTAAGTGGTATTTACTGTGATCAATTTTTGCCCCTTGAATTTTTAGGCTTATCACATGGAATTTGACGAAAGATTAAAAATGCTGCTTACCGTTTGCAAATATCTGCATTTGTTCTGGAGATATTTAAGTTAAAAAAAAAATTGGTAAAATACGCAAATGAGAGAACTGATGACATCATACACTCAACTCAATGTTACATCAAGTATTTAAATAGAGCTATCTTGGCCAATTTGCAGAAGAAACCGCTGAAACTTGGTAGGCTAATAGTTCTACATGCAACACACGTATGGCTTTAAAATTTATGTTCCCATGGGAATCCACTCTTATCCAGTCCCCTCCAACCTGATTTCAATATTGTAGTGATTTTCAGCTTGAAAAACACAGGCAACGCCATGAACTCGGCCTAACAGATTCAGATGCTGGCTGGATTGTGCAGATGAGGCACCATTGGCAAATATCAAAATAAAATGCTAAATGTGGCCAGAAAAGCCTTTTATATTGAGGAGAAGTGGAACCCAGTACGTTGCCATGGTAAAAATGAATCAAACATTTTTGACACAAATAGGCTGAGATGTCTTTGTTTATCTTATTTGATCAAAATTTGGTTGAGTTTATGACATCATCACTTGGCTAATTTGCATATTTTAAATTTGAATATCTCTGGAACGAAGAGAGAGATATGAAATTAGTAAACAGCATTTTTCTTCTTGTACAGAGTTCTTGTCTATGTTTTAAAATGGCTTAGATAGAAAAGACAATTTTCTAAGCCGCAATTTTGACACTAGGAACAGTGGAGCCACTGTTGTACTTCCCAAAGTGAATCTTGAATTTGTACGGAAAAGTTGTTATTTTGTAGGTCTTTAATTTTTTGATTCTTTGCCTTTGAAAAGAAGGCAGATAAGCAGTAGGGTATTAATTAGGGATCTCTAGATGAGTTTTTTTATATAGTGTAGTTAACGTGGTTTGTATTAGTTATAAGTATTAGCATATAATTGAAGGCTTTCGTGCAAAAAGGGCATATATAGCATTTTGGGCCGATTTTTATTTTTTGCAGGATCGAGCCAATTTTTGGCGGACTGACTTGTTTTGACATGAAAAGCATCGTTGCATAATTGCTTTTGTTGATTTGCACTTCGTTTTGGAGAAACAACGTATATGAAAAAAACTCAGTTTTCCGAGGGGCATCGAATTACCCAATTAATGTGAATGTGACAGCACTTTGATCAAAAACATAAAGCAGCATAATGGACAATGAAGTCTAAGTTTGATGTGCTGCTAAATGATCCAGAAGACAGTTTTGAAGCAGGCGTCACATTTTGCCAAATCCTCATCATCTCACACTGACACAAATCAATAAGCTGGATCTGTTTATGTCAGAAACATTGGAACATAAAAAGAGGTGCTTTAAAGGCTAAACAAACTATATTCACAACCTATTAAAATGTTGTTACATTGTGTTAGATTTACTGTGTTAACAATGGTCATATTTTTTGTATCAACAGGAGACTCCATTGGAAAACTTGAATTATGCCTTTGATGTTGCTGAGAAACATTTGGACATTCCAAGAATGCTTGATGCAGAAGGTTAGTTGGGGTGCTGGATTTCTGCTGTTATGTGGTCATTCAAATCTTAGAGAGATGTCTGAATCAAATAGCTTGTGACATCAACACACTTTTTATAATGACTTTTAAATTTATTGCATGCTTACTGGCTAATTGTCAGGTTCAGTAAGTATACAGATACGGTATAGAGCATAAAAGGAGGTATGCTGCGTAAATGAAGTAGTTTCACAAAAAAGCCATTGAAAGCAAACTTTTAACAAGGAAGACATAACAGAGTTTTGAGAACAGCTGTGGACAAATCTAAGGTTTCTGTCAGTCTCTGGTAAGGTTTTTGTCAGTCTCTCTTAAGGGTTCTGATAGTCTTAGAGGAGCTCTGTCACGGTATTTTGAGTTATTTTGGCCACATACAAAATTACCTTTAAACAGTAGGAAACCTGAAAATAACAGTTTAATAAGATAGAAAAACATCAAAGACATGATAATGATAAACCATAAAGGAACAAAGATGGCTAAGGATGGAGTAGATTGACATGAATTACAAACGACGAATTTGAAAAATTGAGGCTAAACTTTTCAATATGTGCAAACCGTGACTGAGCTCCTTTAATAACAGACTAACTGAACATAACAGACTGAACAGCTTAAAATGGTGATGTCAACAATCACATGCATGGCTGAAAATAATCAACTTACAAACTCACAGAATTGACTGGGACTCTGCTCATGCTTAAGCTACCATAACAACTATTTTCCATGTCTGTCTATAGAAAGCTGGTACACCAACTTAGAACAAACACCTCCTAACAGTTTCAACTTTTTCAGTCATCAACAAGGGCATGATGGGGTTCTCATTGAGTACCAACCACTGGCTAAAGCAACTGGCTACTTTGATTTCTGAGCCATCTACTCTTTGGGAATTGATAAAATATGTGTGTAAAGATGTAAAGAATGACGAAAATGTATAACAATTACTGCCACCAAAAAAATAAGGAGATAATTTTCTTCAAAGCTATTTTTGCACTCCATATTGAAATTTAGCATTACATTTTCTCACTGGTTTAGCTCTCTTTCAATCATGCGCCCAAACCCAGCATGCATCTGGCTTCTGTACAGATTTGATTTATTTGTGCTGCAAACTTTGAAAATGACCTTAAGGGCAACAAAGAGACTGATGCTGCAGCAAAGAATAATGATGGGTTTTGTGAAAAATAAAAAACAACCTGACAGAGAGGGAGTGCTTGAATAATCAGTGGTGGACATGAATGTGGAATCATTGATCGACATGGGGGTGGATGTACTAGTTTGCTGGAGTGACCAAATATTTACTTGTCAGCCCTGGGTTTTTACTATCCATTCCAAAGTTTTTTCACTTTAAGATATCAGATAACTCAGATCAACACACACATGAATGACAAAAATGGTTTTTGTTGGCTAATGATTATAGTGCCAGTGTTATACCAGTCTGAAATAACTTATTTTAAACATAATTTAGGGACAACAGAGGTTTTTTGGAACATAACTGAACCTTTACTGTCCTAGAGAGGGGCATTGGGTCAGGGTGTGGTGTATGTTTTCATTTACACTGTAGGATAAAAAAATTTTAAAAAAAAGTGTTTGTTCAGTAACCCCTTAAAATTCTTGGGGTTTTGACCATTTTCAAAATTGATTTTTTTGAGGAAATATCTCCTAGAGAATGCTCTTGAATCAGTGCCAGCCCTCTACTCCCTGAATTAGTGAGAACCTTGGGACAATGTTAAAGCAGCGAACTCCCTCAAATAAACGCTGAACATTATAAAAATAGTATTATCTAAGTATTTAGATTATGTTTTACATATTTTACTTATAAATTAGCAATTACAATTTCTTAGCATTTTATCAATTTTGCCCTTTTTAAACTTGTTGCTGTGAAGAAAGCACAGTCAGCAAGCAGCAGTTAATCAGAATGTACAAGAAATCTATGACCAGAATGCACAGCACAGGGAACAGAATGCACTGTGTGGCGACCAGAATGCACTGCATAGCGAACAGATGCATTGCGTTCTGGTGGTGCCTTGCTTTGAGGTAAACAGACAAAACACAAAGAGCAAACTGTTGTCAGCTTTCTTTTCATTGATCTCTGAAATTCAGGATGTTCAGGACCTTTGGCCAGTGGGAATCTTTTTGTTGTGCATGATCACAACTTGAGCTGTGAATGCTACGACAGCAAATAGATTGATAAACTCAAGTTCAAAGTTGTAAACCAGTTTCACTATAAGCCTGAAAGTGTGTTTTCTGATAGTATTGTAGTTTTATGGATACTTGGGCAGTAGCTGCCATGTGCTTCTTGCACCTCAAACAACTTAGATTGTAAGACTTGTGTGCCATGACAGGAAATAGATTGATAAACTGTTAAATTAACTGTTAACAAGTAACACTGTTAGCCTAACTAAAAGTGCGTTTCCTGATGCTTTTGTTGTCTTTTTCTTGGGCAGCTGGCAGCCATGCAGCTTTGACAAGTTTTCATGTATTGGCACTGAAATTCTACAAGCATTTTGAAAACATAAATTGTACCAGCTTTCACGCATTTGTACTTAACTTCTACATGCATTTTGAGAACTTGAATCATAAATATTTTAGATCTTGCATCGTGATATGGTCTAAAATTTTACTCCACTTATGTGTCCAGCAGCTGACCAGAGGTGAGAAACGTTGTTCAGCATGATGGCAACAGCCTTGACAGGCCTTTATGTATTCGTACTAAATTCTACAAGCATTTTGAAAACTTAAATTGTACAGTCTTAGAAAACAATGTCCTGCACTAAGATCGCATGTACTTCGGGATGGACATGAGATGGCGGAGCGACGCTTTTAATGAGTTTCATATACAATCTGAATGCGAATAAAATGAATTACTCTACTTGTCGAGAATTAGAACAGAAAAAAAAATTTATTAAATGAATTTTGATAGGCAAGGCTGAAGATGTCCATAGCAAATGGTTTTTAGGTTCTGTTATTTCTGAATCACGGTAACAACACGGTATCGGACACGATCATTACCATGAAATCCTAGGGCTTGGACATACTTCAAACAGAACAGTTGTTAATTTGACAAAAAATAGATGGATTAAAACTTACTGGAACCGACCAATGACTGTTAATGATAAACTTTACACAAGTCGCACAGTCAATGCTGTCATGCTAAACTGGCCAATCAGTTACAGTGGATCAGACTGTAACACCGTAAATGATAAAGTGGTGCACACTTTTCACTTGACTCTGACATTGACTTCCTCTCAGGTTGTCAAAATGTCAGTCATCAACAACAGTTCTTTCCAGAGCTAACTCACTCAAACAATCACACTAGACAAGCTATAATTTTCATATAGGTTTGTGAAAATATGTCTTATTTAGGGATTAGCAGACTCAATTGACTGTGTGTTGTTTTCATTTTTGACAGACATGGTGAACACTGCCAAGCCTGATGAAAGAGCTGTTATGACTTACGTGTCTTCTTACTATCATGCATTTACAAGCTCACAAAAGGTTATCTGAATGAAACCATTTACATTTGATGTTGTTTATGCCTTCACTGCCTTTTAAGAAGGGCAGGCCAGCTACCAACTGGCATTAGTAACCATTGCATAGGCCGTGAATGGTCTATTATTGTTTGGTATTTATTTCAAAATCGAACAAGTTACGAGGCAGATTTGGAAGTACAAGCATGATTTCTCCCTGAATTGTACATCCCGAGGTTCATATGTGATCAAATTTTGAAATTAAAAATGTCTTTGGGGAGCTTTTTTGAGCAAAAAAGTCAGTAGCGCTTTCCATAAATTTTAAAAAAACTGTAGGAAACATTTAGAAGGAAACCATTAAAGTGCACGCAATTGACGTGTGAATCACGCGGGTATCCAATTACAAGTCGTGTGATTAACTGCATTGTAATTGTAGTTCATTGCACAAAGTCTGAATGTAGAGTTGTTTAAAGGAAGTCAGAAAAAGTTTGTTTTTACTGAAATGTGAACTGAAGATCTAAGTGTAGTGAGAATGTGTTTATTGGTGACTGTTTGAAGTACTGTTTTCCACTTCCAGTTATGATTTTTTTTATTATTTTGTAGGCTGACACTGCAGCCAAGCGTATTGGCAAGGTACTAACAATCAACAGAGACAATGAGAAGATGATGGAGGACTATGAAAAAATGGCCAGTGATGTAGGTATCCTTAGCTGGGTACCCTTAGGCATTCACTTTGAAGTAATACATGTACTTTCCATGATTGAGTGACACACTGAAAACACCAACCCTTGTTTGTGTGAAATTTTCTCAAACCGTAGATGTGTTTGTGTTGTTTTCACATGGGTATTCTTTTCATTTTTGCTGCTGTCAGAATTTTTTTATGATGACATTTTCATTTTCAAACTGAGGCTTGGTGGTGATTTTGGTGGTCTGAGGTCATCATGCATAAGAGCTATTGTTGTTTAAGTGAATCTAAACTCCTTAACTTTTCTTTGCCATTTTTGGTTACCAAGCAAAAGACACTCTCACTGGTTGAACTGTACATGTATATGACATATTTTGTCTATTTGCTGGATGGAATCTTCATGATAATTGTGATATGGAAATCACATGTTTGGACAAATTTCACTCCTTTTTAGTGCAGAGTGCACTATTGGGATGGTTTAGGGGGCTGCTGTTTGCTAAGGCACTAATGCCATTAGGTGTGAACTTTAATGTTTGTTTAATTAATTAATTTCAATTAATCAATTAGCCTTGTGGGAAGGGGGGCTGGGTGCGGTAGGTACCTGAGTGCATTACACAAAATGTGTCGTTGCTTTCTTCGATAACACGACAAAAATATATATATGGTTTTGCAAATTTCATGCTATCCTTGTGGTGCTATTCTCTCAAGGACAAAAGCAATTTGTTCCAAACGCATGCGCAGATTAGTTAGCGTCAAAGTTGACTCTATGTTAGGTGAAAGATATATTTCATAACATATGAGACGCATGCGTTCTAGCATTGCTAGTGTGATAAACTTTGTTCTCGAGTTCAGATGCACGGTTTTTTTATTTTTTGTAATGAGTGTTATCACACTCTCGTTTTGGCTGGGGATAGCAGTTATATTTCAGGTAACGTCAGTTCCCCTTTTTTAGTGCAAAGAACATTACTGTGACTGCGTTTCTTCTGGAATCTTCCCTAGCTCAATTCAAGAAATGTCATCTGCTGTTTTATAACTACTGTGTGTTTGCCAGGGTTGCCATATTGCTTCTCCTTAGCAGCTTGTTTGTTTCCTCTTCTATGAAAGAGGTCCCAAAGATCATATTCAGCCGAAACTTTCCTGCATTAGTTACATATAAAACTAGTAAATTTGTGACAAAAGAAACTTTGTTATTATTGCTGCAGACTCCGTGGCACTTACTGAAACCTCCAATTAATTTCATCAGCCGATGAGGCGACTTGCTTACCAATGTGGGAAATAATTTCAGTCAAGTAAAGATCTCTACCTTCAATACTTCTCGTTGAAATGCTCCTCAGTTGTATTACTCAATAGCATTGTGTATTAGTTTGATGTGGTTTTATTGTTTACACCAGCTCGTCTGACAACAGAATTGGAATGACTCGACATGACTCAACGTGACTATTTGATGATTAGATTAGTTCTTGGTTATCAGTGAAATGAAAATTTACGTTTTGAATAAAACAAAATCGTTCCTATTCGACTTTTCAGGGGATATTTAACTTTTATATTCCATTTATCTCCAGCAGTAAGTTAAAAAAAATACACATCTTTCTTATATTTTCATGGAAACAAAGGTATCTTGTTGCATACATTGGCAAGGAAAACAAAAGTATCAAATTACAAACGGCATGAAAATGAATGAAACTCAAGATAAAATACCACAATAAATTTAAAACTGTCCTGACAAACGGTAATTGTAAGTTATTTTTGGGCAAAACGCAAACATGAAACATACACACGGCTAAGATTATGTCTTGTCAAGTTTTTGTCCGCTCATAGTGTGCAAAGGGGAAAAGGCCTAGTTGACTACCAAGGTAGAGAACAGCAGGGGTGAGGACCTGTGTGACTACTGCATCAGAGCCGTAAATTACACTCTGCACCATCTGAGATTGTCTTACTAGTTTTCACTTCCTTTTCACATTTTAGGAAATCTGCTGATTAGTGCATAAAGCAATAATTGCAGCCATTTGTGCTCTAAAGTTGATATCAAAGTTATTGAGGTGGAGGAGATATGATTTATTCACCAAGTAACTTTGTTTTAGTGGTAGTGTTTATTATTTATGGATTGTTTAGACTGCCAACAGTTTTTGTTTTTAACATAGAGCTTACTATAGTTAACCAGTGCAATGGAAGCTGAATTGCAGCACTGTACACAAGTCCAACAAGTTGATTCATCCACTGAAAAGAGAGAACAGAATTTTGCCCCCACAGGGATTCTAACACAAGACCTCTTGACTGCAAAGTCATAGGAATCCGGTTGTGCCACTTCAGCACAAACATTAAAAATTTTGGAGGAAGAAATAAACATATTTTTTGTTAAAATTTTACCTGCTTTTACCTGTAAAAAAAAAACACAAAACAGCATATAGAACAAAGCTACCCAGCAGCATTGCACTTACATACTACTAGTTAACACCTTCTTTTGGTTCATTTGTTTTCAGCTCCTTGATTGGATCAACAAAACTTTGCCCTGGCTCAAAGACAGAAACAGTGATGGCACATTGGATGATATGCAGGTATGAAAGAGTAGTAATAAAGGCTGTATATCAGCTTTGAAGATATCCTCATGACAGTTACTAAGGTCCAACTTTACATTTATTTAGGACATTCATGTGAAAATGTTGTAATTTAGAGTTTTTGCAAACTTTTACTGTGGTTAGATAATGAGTTATTTGTGTCACAAATGCAAAAAATGGGTGTCACTGACTTTCTTTCAGAAATATACAGTGTGCAAAAATGAGCTGGTTTTGAAATATTAGTGAAGGCAACTCAATTTTATTTGCAGGGTTTTTAGTTAAACATATTGAAGATAATTCAATAAAGGCAAACCATCCTTGTCTGAACAACTCAATAGGTGTCAGTTTCTTATAGCAAGGGCTTCCCAGGCTAAAATGCCCTATCTGCCCAAAGAGAGATTACTTTTTTTCAAGTTTTTTTTTGGACTTTTTGACACTTTTTTTTTCTATTTGTAGAAAAAGCTTGATGCCCTTCGAGTGTACCGAAGAAGTGAAAAGCCTCCCAGAGTGGAAGAGAAAGGCATGTTGGAGACAAATTTTAACACGTTGCAGACCAAGCTTCGACTTGGAAATCGACCTGCTTACCTCCCAACAGAGGGCAAAATGATTAGTGTTAGTACCTTTCAATCAGTGACATTATGTTGTTCCATGAAATATCCATACCCTCCTGACAGAGTGCTCTTTTAGGTTTAATTTCCTTCCCCCCACCCCCAATCCTTCTGGAAATTCCAATTTAAGTTCATCTTTTCCGTTAAAAGTTCAGGGTGTTGAGACCCCCCACCAGGAATGTCTGATGACTTTTCCTTGGGGTGGGGGGGGGGGGGGGGGGGGGGGGGGGAATGGATATTTACTGCAGCCACACATTAAAAGTATCTCATAACACAATTATAACTAATCAGTATAATGGTGTAAATGTAAGTTTATCTTAATACTTGTTTCTAGACAGTGTTGACTAATGATTGGCTTTAACTGTAATGAGAGTGATTCTTCACTTGCCTTCCATCGAACCCATGTTCACTAAGTGCTGACTGCAATTGAAGCTCCTGTGAGAAGCCACCCTCTATAAGCCAAATACATATCTGTAACTGGTCGCTTACACCACTAACACTTAACACTGTTAACATGAAAACAAACACTATAATCTTGATTCACAACTAATCAGATGTGGTACCACCCAAAATTTTTACCCATTTGGATACTACAAAACCTTGTCTTTGTTCAACTATTCTGCTGCAAGTCTGCCATGGTGAGATAAATTCCTTGGTCTCATCTTGCACATACATGATCAAACTCTGCAGCTAACAAGACGTGGTAACAGGTAACAAGTCTAATCAATTACTACTGTCAGACAGTTGAATAACGATATTTCTCGACGTTTTAAAAGAACACTTTGCAATTTTCTGGTAGAGCATAGACAAGTTAACTGTTGAAATAGAAGTAAATAAAGCGCTTACAACTCAGTACCTCAATTTGTGAACTCTTAGTTGATGCTGAAGCTCAGAGATAAATTTGCAACAGAATGTATTTAGACAATATCAATAGTCTTTTCAAACTTTAATGCAGCATGCCACATCATTTCTGAGGTGAGAGTGTGGTATCAATCTGCGAATGGCAAGAGTAATAAGTCATTATGAGCTATAAATCATTATAACTAATGTTAGTGTGAAATTCAGTTTGGGCAAATGGAGTGTTTCCTTTCGATGTTTGTTTATGAGTGCTCAGGAACAAGAGAAAAGTCTTGATTAATTATTATACCTCACAAAAGTGTCCATGGTCACCTATGTGAATGTACACAAACAGAGTTTGTATGGGAGTGGAAAAGAATACCAGCAGGAGCTGGCATTCAGCTGTATTTCACAATGGTGCTACTTGTTTAAGATGTTTGTATTCCTTGTCTGACATGTGGTTATTTTCGCACAGGACATCAACAGAGCCTGGGGAAACTTAGAAGGCGCAGAAAAAGATTTTGAAGACTGGTTGCTGAAGGAAATGAGAAGGTGAGATCTGATATTGATTATTGAGTGTCATTGTCAGAGAAAACCGGGCAGTACCAAAACAGTGAGGTCGGCCGTTTACCTTCATCTTTTCACTGTACAAAAGCTATCTGAAAAGATTAACAACCATGACATTTGCCGAGGTAGGTGTTTGTTTTTCTTCGAGATATCACCACATCATGATTTTGGGCTCTCAAGCAGTCAAAAATGGCCGAAATTTCAGGCAATTTTAGGTGAACCTAAAAGATACTTCGTACAAATTCCAGAAACTCTTATTTTCGTGGGATAATATTTGTCCCNTTATATACTACGGATCCTTATGCTTCGATTAATTCTGCTAAATTAAGAAGAGTTTTCCGGGTCTGGGTTTTCGAGACACCTTAAGACACCTTTGAATCAACAAAAAATTATCTCAAGCTTCATAGCAAGTGGTTGTAAGTCAATTCCATTCACGAGGTAATAAAGGAAGGAAACAAAATGGAAAACAAGACGGTGTACAAACCTGCGACAATACAAACGACAATGATAGCAAGAAAGATTTCCGTTGGCAATCCTGCAGACCTAGTTACAATTTCACGTATTGATATGCTTATTCCAGTTGTCTGTCCTTTTTGATCATTTCGTAGGCCGGATAGCAGTGAAGTTTTGTCATAACCTGTATTTCCTCATTGTTTACATTTGGCTGTGCCAAATAGACACCACCTCTAAGGTCTTTCCTCGACCCTCTTGTTTGCACACTAATAATTGAAGAAAAACTGACCCGCCACCAGCAATGCTAGGCGATTTTTCTGATCTGAAAGAACAGTTAATGTTTTCAAAAACAAGGAGGAACGTTTAGGTAATATCCACATTTCAAAGTCTTACCTTTGAATCTGTAACGCGTCACGCCTTTCGAAAACGAGAAATAGATGTAAACAAGGGGTTTGCAGAAGTCCCAAAATTAAATTTAGGGTAAAGGTTCACTCACGATTAACTTGCAGTTTGTTCTACACAACAGCGAAAAAGACCATCAAACTGAGGATCCACTTTGTCTTTCCATGCAGCGTGACGTTAAAAATAGAATTTTCGCAGGAAAATTTAGCCTAGACGGTAACGATTTGGTGAGTTTAAAATGTTTGCTTTGGTTGACAACGATGTCACAGCTTAAAAATTCTCTTCTGCAGTCCAGCTAACTATTTTTTTGCAGATCTTTCAGTAAATCATGAATAACAATCGCAGAAAGTCGGAATGAGGTGAAATTTTAGCTAAATATTTGGCAGGAAATATTTCTGACTAATGAATTTTTTTGGACTTTGCGAGACCAATTACTCCAATTTGCTTGTAGATACCAATTTTAACTCAACTGGATATTGATAACAGTGCAAGAGACTATCACAAAATTGTTTTTCTGTGGAAATAAACTACCACACTTTTGAGAAACGACTCGCTGAAAATGACTAAAATTCAGGTCACGCTAATTAACGATTCGGCGGTGATATTTGGCACCTTGTAAAAACGTCGAATTGAAGCGAAAGACCTCAAATATATCTCAGTCAACTAATAAAGGGACAAATATTATTGCACGAAAATAAGAGTTTCTGGAATTTGTGCGAAGTATCTTTTAGGCTCACCTAAAGTTGCCCAAAATTTCGGCCATTTTCAACTGCTTGAGAGCCCAAAATTATGATGTGGTGATATCTTGAAGAAAAATGAACGCCTACCTCGGCAAATGTCATAATTATTAATCTTTTTGGGTAGCTTTTGCACAGTGAAAAGATGAAGGTGAACGGCCGACCTCAATGTTTTGGTACTATCCAGTTTTCTCTGACAATGACACTTAATTCATTACATTTTTCAACCAGTCTATTTGTTACAAACAGAACAAATCCCTATAGCAACATTACAGTATGGATCAAAACCTCATTTCATATGCACTCCAGTTTTTTCTGCCACACTTACAAGCCTGGTTTTGCAAATCTGATGCTATTCAAGTAAAAGTAGTCCATTACTAGTCATACTGCCTACCATCATTTCTCTTTGTGGCTTTTTGGCTATTGCCATTTAAGACCATATTGTCAGGATTGCAAATACATTGTTGGAAGGTACAGACTGCAAAAAATTAAATTTTGGCATTTTCATAAGTGTAAATCTTGTTATTTGTCAGACATCATCAGTCATCTTCTGAAATCTTTGCAAATCATGGGACTTGAAAACTTCCACAAAGAGATTCTTGGAAGTACATTTGACTCTGAAACATTACAATGCAGTGGAGCAGTTTATAAGCCATACAATGAAGACTTGATTTTTACCCACTACCCTGGCCTTAAATCTAAGAGACTCTAGTTTAGTTTATTAATGGTGTTTTCAAATTCTGTTATTTTGCAGGAGTAGACATCTAGTTATACATTTATAAATGAGTTAGATATTTTATATGCATGCCAAATAATCAAGACCAATTCTTTTTGTTTGGTCTTGCTTGTACAGAATGGAACGACTTGATCATTTGGCAGAAAAATTCAAGCACAAATGCAACATTCATGAAGCTTGGACAACTGGCAAAACTGACATGTTAAACAAAGATGATTATGAAAAAGCCACACTGGCTGATGTTCTGGTAAATAAACAGTTACAAGTCTGTAGTTGTATGTTCTTTAAATGAGATGGAGCAACAGCTTCAGCAGCCATATAACAAATCCTGTTTATTTGGAAGGTGGATACTTTGCACATAGATTTGTATTTATTTATCGCTTGTAAAATAACATTGCTGGCCAGTGTCCTTGAAAAGTCCTTGAATAAGGTACCCGTTTTCTGTGTGAACCCTGTAACAATTTTTTATACTGTTTACTGCATAATAAAAAAGATACTGGCTGGAATAGCCAGGCATGTACTGGTCTAATGTTTGTTGGGGTTTTGTCCTTGTTTTATAGGCCTTGAAGAAAAAACATGAAGCATTCGAAAGTGATCTAGCAGCTCATCAAGACAGAGTGGAGCAAATTGTGGCAATTGCCCAGGAGCTTAAGTAATATATCAAAGATGAAAAACTGTGTTTGACCACATTTCCAAGCACCGAGAAGAGAGTTGAAAATATGATGCATAGTAGAGTATTTTTGATGATAAATCAGGTGTTTGGAAATGTGTTTAAACACTGTCTTAAGTGTTTGATATATCTTCTTAATCAAAACTAAAATGAAGGAGAAAGTGGAGATTCAAAATCGTAAAAAGCTATGTCAATTATGATCAGATATCCAAACACTGTCATGGTCACGATTTCCTTTGTTTAAACTTGAGGAATTAAATTTAGAAGTAAGAAGAAGTAAGTTTCAAAATCTTGTTCATAGCATTTGAGTCCATGTATGGCCATCAAATACCGTAAATTCCACTGAACTCCAAAATTGTGAAAGCTTCTCTGACTTAAGAGATAATGACAAAGCCAACTCATGAGCAAATGTAATTGTTTTAGCATAACTTGGCAGCTTATATAATAAAACTTATTTATCAATAGTTCTGTTCTTTTCTGTCAGAATGAAAAAATTACTGGCCATGCACTGTGCAGACAATTGGTAGCAGCTCTAAAGATAGCTAATTAGTTTACAAATTTGCCAATATTCGATCAGTAGGTTATGCTTAACAATTCAGTAAAAGACATAAGCCCATAGTCTGATTGTTATATAGTAAAATCATGATTTCTCAAAGAGAGATAAAAATTGGCACAGGACATCAGGCATTAGAGGTATCATTAGTAGTTTCAAGTTAATACTGTTGAGATATTGTTTTATCAATATTATTAAGTTATTTATTTATTTGAACCAAGTAGGCACAAGGATTTTAAGTTATCAAGGGTTGGACAAATTGGGAGAGTATATCTATGGAACACAATATAAAATTATGCTTTAAGGATTAAACATGGGCATTTCCTTGATTTTTTTAGTGAACTGGGTTACAGTGATGTTGGTTCTGTCAATGCAAGATGCCAGGTAAATTGTCACATGTTTGTGATGCTATGGGAATGGAAAAGTCAGAGGTGGACCATTTGACTTTTGAGGGAGGGATTTAAAAAAAGATATCCTTGAAGAATACCTGTACCAGAAAAATTCATGCACATAACCATGTCCCAAGAAAAAAATTTCTCATGCCTGTACCAAATCACCCACNCCCCCAAAAAAAAAAGGTCAAGTGTTTCACCTCTAATATTATTACAAAATTTAAGTCGGAAGGTATCTTGGCGGAATGCTTCCCTGCTTCTTCCATCCAGACTGTTTTATGTACCAGGAACCTGTTTCTTGAAAGCCCCGGAAACTTTTTTGGTCCGAAATGCCATTTTTGGTTGATCGGGATTTATAGACAGAGAGGTGTATATGCCTGAAACTTCTTGTTCGGAATGAACCTCTGTTTATATTAAGAATATGTGAATAAAGCAGCTCTGTAATCATAAGGTTTGAGATTTTGCTACAGCTTTCCAGGTGGAAAAACATTTCGGGACCTTTGAGAAACGGGCCCCAGAGCCCTACTCTTGTAAATTGTTAACTAAAAAGAAACAATATTGCTGTAATTTTGACATGATCACATAGTTTGAACAGTGTATAATATACACTGTTTTTAATGGTATACAGAAATTGTTAAACAAATTTTTACTCTGACAAATAAAGGAAGAAATTAAGACCTTTTTAGAAAACATTAATATGCTTTTGAATGTTTCATAAATAATGGATTAATGACATGGGTTAATGTTACAGCTTGCACATGTGCTGAACCTTGAAGCCATTCCTTTTGAAATATATTGAAATTTGAATAACAAAAAGTAACAAATCAAGTCATTGACTTCAGATGCATTCGAGAATATAATGGAAGTAATATTGAAAAGTATTTTGGAATGTTTCTGTCAAATGCTAAAATATATGTGCAACATCTGCACATAGTAGTGTGATCTGCATGACATTTTCATTATTCCATCCAATTTTTAGACAATCTGTGATGAATGGAAAGATCTTGGGCAGCTAACAGAAGATCGGCGACATAAACTTGAGGTTTGAAAAACAATTTCTTATTTTATTGGTGTATATATGGATACATTTTGAGGAGGTAATAAACTGATTCTGTTTTTTAATTACAGACACGTGAAGTAATATTACAGAAACTGGACTCCTTCCTGTTAGAGTTTGCAAAGAGAGCAGCGGTATGTCTTGTTGCTGTATGATCATTAGAGTGCAAGTAATTGCCGACCAAATTACACTCTTGTCTTGCACCTTACCATGGCATAAAATAATATTCTGCTTGTTTGCAAAAGAAAACAGATAAAGCAAATGCAAAGCAGTTCACTCTTTTCATTGTACTCCTTTCACAAACAGTGGCCTCCTTACTGCCCATTGAAAAAACTCTCCTGCAACCCTGTTTGCCCATCTGCTGGCCAAACAAAAATTGGTCACAAGACCATGTAAGTGGTTCACTCAATGTCATTCCCATATTTCTCCTAATATCACACTGTATACCACATATAATTTTCTCCTTTTCTGCATAGTAATTCAATTTTGTGTGGTCAAGTTGAAAGTCCCTCCCAATAAGCAAGCTTTTGGATAGGAATACAAGTTGAAATAGCTCTTAGAAGATAAGATATTTGTTGTAAAGCAAATTCCCCATAGGGACATTTCACATCTTCAATTGCCAATTGCCAAGTGCTTCTCTTTTGAACAAGCTATTTTGCCTGATAAAGAAATTTATTTTCTTAAGCTGTTCAATAACTGGCTGGAAAGTGCACGGGAAGATTTAATGGATATGTTCAGCGTACATACTGTTGAAGAGATTGTGGTAAGAAATTTGTATTAATTATTACTTTCTTTTGATCACTTTCATGGTGTGCAAGTCATATGAACTGGTATCACAACTAGTATTTTTGTACAAGGGATCAGAGGAGTCACACCGCTCATAGTTCTGGTGCTAAACTCCAGTTTCTTCTAGTGGTAAATCAACTAGAAGCATTGGTAGCTCAATGGATGGGATGTTAGTTCACTGCAGATAGCCCCTAGAAGTTGGTCAGGTTCTGACCATTTGATGGCACTTGTGCATATTTTAGAATGGAAAGAAGTATTGTGCGAGTAAAGTGGGCTACACTCAAACCATGACCTATCAATGCAGAATCTAGTTCAATTGACCATGAGGCAGTAGTTCCATTCTTTGGATGTAAATGGTCATTAAACACAAATTATGTATGTAATCACCGGTCAGATCAAAATCATTGGATCAGTCTTGCTTCCAATGACATCTGAGTATGATAAAACATTCATATAGTATAGGAAACCACACTGCTGGTATTATCATACATACGACTCATTAGGGTAGAATACAATAAAATTTAAGTTTGACATTGAAACAAAGTTAATAGCTCTTATTGATATTGTTTTTTTTTTTCAATAAGGCGTAAATGAAGGGAAATGGTCAACACATTGTTCAGCACAATGCTAAATTACCCTGTTGTCCTGTTTGTGTGTCAAACTGTTGAGAACTACCATAAAGAGCTTTTTTTCTCTCTTTGTTTGTTTTGAATGCCAGAAATGTGTGACAGCTGTCTTGTAAAATTGTTTAGGAACTGAAAGATGCTCACCAGGTGTTCAAGGACAATATGCCAGCTGCACAACAGGAATATGATGCTATTATGAGCATTAATACTGAAATTGAAAACATAAGTGTCCAGGAAAACCCTTACACTAGTCTTACTAAAGAGGTAAATGAAGGTTTGACATTTCTAATGCTGAACTGTCTCGTGCTTTCTGTAGCTTTAATCTTGCAATGCCCTTTGTATGTAAAATTCTTTTAAGGACTGTTGCAAAAGCTCCTTTGCAGTGTTGTAAATGTTTTCTTTCTGACGATGCATTAACATGTGATCTTCAACAATATGACAATATTATTTGTTGACTATGTTCAAATCACTAGACAGGTGGAATAAAGTGTCTCTGTTTTTTTTTCTTGGTGCAATAATTGTTAATTATTAGCATCGTTTTAGCATGGAAACAAAAAAATTAAATTGTTCAAGAAAATCATTTATGGGTTAGAGCCAAAGAGATGTAGTTTTAGTATTTAGAAAAGGTTTTATTCATTTTGGGAGACTTGGAAGTTTATATTTTTGGCATAACAACATTAGTTCAATTACAGCAGAGAAGGAAGCCGTACAACATAGAAAGAGAAACGGATTAATTAAAAGCAAAGAATATTCAATGAGTAACTGATGTTGTACACAATTATTTGTTGTTGCTAACATATGAGCTGGGTTGATATTGCACGTATATACATGGCCAGTGAAAATGAAAGATGGTAATGTAATGAATAAATAGAATTTTAAGCCATTTGTTTTCTCTTTCCTATTCAACAGGAAATTTCTCTGACATGGAGTGAAGTCATAAGCCTGATTCCCAAGAGAGATGAGCTTCTTGAAAATGAAAAAGGCAGACAGGAACGTATCCTTGACTAGCATTATTTTTAAGCCAGATCGTAAGATAGGTTTGCATGTGGGCAAAAGACTTCACTGGTAGGAAGAAGATCCCCTTATACAAAGAAGAAGAAGGGCTATAAACGTTGGTGTTTTTAGGATGACATTTTGACAGTTTTCTACCTTATCAGTTTTTAATCTTTCTTTTCTTTTGAATGTTTACATCCTTTTCAGTGTCACCCATCAACCGGTATAACAATTCCTTTCTTTTTTACATCCTAAACATGCCCCTTATTTGATCCCATTTGCATTGGATGTAGGATTTTTGTGAAAAAAACATCACTTTTCCATATGTGTGTGCATTCTCTGTCCAGTTTCCTCATTGCTTCCTATTTTATTATTTACTTGTCTTGTTGGAAGTTCTGTCATTTTTGTGCAAAGGTGTGTTCTCATCTTAGAAGATTAAAATTAAGAAGGATGGCATCCTTGTATGTTATAAAGAAAGGTTTCCTTGAGGGTTGTGAACATTCTGATATGTTGCTCTCAAATATAATGCTCGTTTATAACAATTTAAAATATGGAAAGGACATTCAGTAAGAACAAGTCACTTTGACTCTACTGTGTGCTACCTGTGTTTGCGTTGGTGTGTTGGGGGCTGTTTCAAAGTGATTTCAAGAAGTTTTAGTTTGACTGTTTTCCTGTCTATATAGGAATGATGTATAGTATGTGAATACACTGTCTGTTAGAGATTTGTCCCTTGACCGAACATAGGAAATGAGAGACTTCGTGTAGAGTTTGCACAAAAGGCTAATTCAGTTGGACCGTCAATCAAGGACTATGAGGAAAAGTTACGCTCTATTGCTTTGAAAATGCAAGGACCCCTGGAGGTATGATATCCAACCTCTTGTTTATTCAGTAGCAATGTCTCCATCCTCATGAACAAGCCACAGCAAGAGTGTGGGCTGAGACTATTTTTTTTTGTTAAGGGCCCATAAACCGATCTTTTAGAGCCGTTTCTGAGGAAAATTTATGCTCATATAACCTCATCATTTTTAGTTAGTTCAGAGTCATTTCATGTGTTTTAACTTTTTCATGATTAGTAACACTAGTGATGACGTCATCAGGCCACGCCCATGGTCATGTGACTAATACTGAAAAAACTCAAAGGCTCCCAGGCAAATTACTTTATCGGGATTTTTTTCATTGATTTAATATCTTAATTTAAATCCTCATTACGCTATGCATAGATTTTGTTTCACTTCTAAAAGGTCAGATTTTGAGAGAACTTCAAAATCTTAAAAAATTCGTAATTTTCTTTAAAAAGCATGATTTTGAAAAAGGACTGCTTAGCTATCTTTCCAACGTTGGCTTTGATCGAAATCCGTCGAAAAAGGCTGGATTTAATGAAAAACCGCGTTTCATTTGGCATTTAAAGAAACCAGAGGTGCGCCCGATATATATTGGAAGTTACCCTATCAGCGCGTGCGCAATTTACACTATCAGCGCACTTCGGTAAGATCGAAGAAAGCCACACGGAGTTAATTTTTCTCTTTCTATTGCTCTTGTTTTTCTGTCTTTTTCTTATTTTGTCTCTGCTTGTACTTTTTTTACTTTACATTTTGTGAAACACAAAGAAAAACATCTAAAATGTAAGCGAATTTGGAAGTTATTGATTTTTTTTTGTTTTCCGCGCTCAGGCTGACGTAAGTAACCAGAAGTGAAATTTCACCTCCTTAGGAACGCGCGCGAGCGCGCGCATAAATCGGTTAATGGGCCCTTAAATGTACTTATAATGATATTCGCAGCCCATGTCTCAACCCAAAAACCCATACAAGTATTGGTGCAAGTTTTCTTTATTTTGCAAACTGTCCAAATGAATTTTAATTTGAGTAATGTCCAAATTAACAAGTAATTTGGACAGTTTTATACATAGTATAATTAACAGTAATGCGGCTACATCCTAGTTCAATTGGGAAATAATTAAGTTCAAAGATTTCCTCTTACTGCCAAATTGGACTCGACCTAAAGGCCTCATCCAATTTTGGCCGTCCACAGAAGTTTTTCATCTAATTATTTCCAAATTGAACAGCATGTAGTACTAACTATAACATCTACAATGTACCATTGAAATCTTATGAAAGCTGGACTTATAGTTGTGCTTCAATAAAGAAGCCGGATAAACTTGAAAGCTGCACTTCAATACAGAAGTTCGGGTGTTAAAAACAGATAAACAATAAAATCTGATGATTCGTTCACAGACAGCACAGGCAAGCTACAGCTTTCAAATTTTGTAACAAAAGCGCGAATGTGTCATTATGGACTGAGTACCATGACAAAGTAATGAAATTATGAATAACTTAAACAAGAGGAAAGAAAAACAACATGAACAGAATCAGTCCGGGGATGGTTCTTGAAAGGACATGTGTCCGTTGAGATTCATAACCATTCAGAAGGACACGTGATCTTGTGCTTACGAGGAAGTCACAGCCAGGTGTGGATCTCTCCCCAGTTTCCTGTGAAGCATAATACTTTTTTTGAGCATGCGCCCTTTATGATTGGACTGTGTCAAACACCTTTGAGAGGTTACGGCTTGTGTCCACTAGCGCATAACCATAGCATAAGCCAATATATGCAGGCGCAGTAAGATGTTGATAATTAGCGCCTTTTGTTGGAAATTTCCCAAATGAAAGGTGCTGATTATCAACATCTTTCAGCGTCTGTGTATATCGGCTTATGCTTATGGTTATGGGCTAGTGAGAACAAGCCTTTAACCCATTGACGCCTGTGCCGCCAAAGACCGCCCGTGACGGACGTTGGCCTCTGTTCCACTTCTTATGTCATCACCTCTGACCAAAATTGGCATCACTTACACTCAAGTTCGGCAGGAGGAAAGGATCTTTCCAGTGATACCCAGGTCGATTGAGCGTGAAATATGCACGAAAATGCTTAGAAATTTGGGTGAAAAATTCGGAGCAAAATTTCCCTCTGCTACACTTGGCTACTCCATGCTAAGAACTTCCTGTCTCGATGATGCTTTCGCGGAAATCCTTGAATTGGAAGCAAGCCCAGTAGTGGGTCAGCATTTGTAGCAAAAAGATACGAAAAGTAGAAAAAAGGAAGACGAAAAAAAAATTAAAAAACCAAAAAGCCTAAAGACGTAGGACACTTTCAAAATTTTAATTTCTGCGCATGCCCTAGCAAAAAAAATAAAAATGTGATAAAACGCGGTGCCAGTGGAAAGAAAGGCATGCTGTCATGTTGCAAATGCCTTTTTCAGTAGATTGGAGCTAATTTAGTTCATAGCCAGGCTCAAAATGTCCAAAATGTCCAAAAAATGCGTATTTTCCAAAAATCTCCGGTTGTCAATGGCCTAAGGAAGATCACATCGACTTGCTGTTGCTGTTGAGGCTGCTTGCCTGTATGTTAATGAGTATGATTCACTGGGTCTTTGCACGGAAGTCTTCTCTGGGAACCATGCTGTTGTTGAAAGAGGAATAAGTTGCTTGAGAGATAGGACATATCTACTTGCACATACTAAGTGTTCATAATTTTTGCAGTCAAGGATGTTAAAGACACAGGCCTATAATTTTTTTGGATCAGCGGAAAAAAAGCCTTTTTTGAAAATGGCTTGTGTTACTGTGAAACTCAGAAAACCGTGAACACTTTGTTCAATTCTAAACCCCAAACCAAATTAGCGTTGCTATTTGCGGTTTAGTTCTCTTACGCCTAATTGGGGTTTTCCTTGCTGCACAATTCCATAAATATTTCTGGTCTTGATGGTTTTCTTTGTTTTACACGTTATTTACAATTGTACATACGTGTCCTCACAACCCTTTACCAGATTAGTGTGTAGTGCATTTATAGAAATTCAAGATTTAATGACCCAGTGTCAGCGCTACAAATTAATAATAGCTACATTTTACATTGCATTATGCATTGTACATGTCAAAGTGTAATTCTAGTTGGTATATTTTGTTGTTACTTCCAATAAAGGAACAACTGAAAGCTGTCCAAGGGCTTGAACGAGATGTTGCTGGCTACAAACCTCAAATGGATGAACTAGAGTTGGTGCACCAAGTAAGAAAAGGCGCTTTATATTATTTTGTTTTAATGCATTGTTTTTTGCCTTACACAAATTTTGTTTAATCGTTTTATTTTGTGATTGTTTTTTTTTTGGAGACAGTGAAATAACAGTTGTGGTCTTCTTTTATATATCACCTGTTATGTTTTCTTAGCTTGAGAGTTTTTGTTTTCAAGGTCTCGTCACTTGCCTAACTGTTTCTGATGCTGATTCTAAAACACTTTTGTGACCTACAGTAGATCAAATCTGTCCTCAACCACAACTGTGTTGTTATGTTAACCACTGCCTTTAGAATATTTGTTAGTAAATGTAAACATCTTAATACAGTGACCCAGATACCATCATTCTGAAGTTGTGCTTATTTACAGGATGTCCAAGAAGCACTAATCTTTGAAAACCCCCACACAGAATTCACAATGGAAGTAAGTATGGCGACTCAGTTGGAACCTTCAGGTGTTGGGTGATCAGATAATGTAATGTGAGAGTGATGGCGTGAGTGGGTGCATTCCTACCAGTTCTTCGCAAGCATTTCTTTTTAGCACAAGAATGTCTTGTATGTATTGTTTCAGTCCCTTATGATAATCCAATCGGAATGTCCCTTAAGTATAGTTTTATTGTGTATATATCTGACACCTATCTGACAGGTTCATAGGGCACTCTCTTTGTCCCTCGTCTAAGTTCTAAGGCGGTCGTTTTTATCATGTTGCTTATGAAAAATACACTGACCAATAGACATGTTCAGTTCACGAAAAAATACCAATCTTACGGAAAGCATCAAGAACTGCAGCGTCAACTGAAGCTAATTTACGAAAAGGTTATTATACTGACACACGAACGATTGATGGTAAAATTAACTCTTATGTGATTTTCTCAGGCTCTCCGAGTGAACTGGGAACAACTGCTGACTGCCATTGCGAGAAACATCAATGAAGTTGAAAACCAGGTAAATTTAGTACAAAGTTCCTTTTATTATAAGACTATAAACAGGAGGCTTATTGAGTAGAAATAAGAAACACAAAATGTAACACAGAAATGCCTGAGTCTATGTTAAATGCATGTTAACAAATACAAATCAGATTCTCGAATTTCCAATAGAAAACAGCTGAGTGGCTACTAACATTCGTTATAGTTCACCATTAAATTTTCTCCGATTCTTATTGGTTTAAAGTGATCACGTGACGCGATAGTGTTTATCCGCGGAGAGACACTATCAACCCATAGTGCCCGTCCGAGGAAATACCCGGATGGATAGTACTCGTCCGTGAAAAATTTTCTGTAAACAAGCGAGCTTATAAAACATAAACAATAAAGACAATAGAGTGTGTTAGTCTCGGAACTCTCGGTCTGATAGTTTCCCCTTGGAAATTTGATGTTCTTAAGACTAGCTTATTTGCCCTCGGGAGCTTTGCTTCTTGGGCAAATATTTGTTTTAAGAACATCAAATTTCCGCGGGGCAACTATCAGCCGATACGATTAATCGAGCCTACTTTACTCCCGGAAGTTTTTGTTTGATACGACTGATACACTTTCCTTTATTGATAGATTCTTATGAGGGATTCTAAAGGCATCTCTGACGACCAGATGAAGGAATTCCGTAACTCGTTCAACTTCTTTGACAAAGTAAATACAGAATACCAGTAATAAGTGTGATGGTCCAGGAATTTGTGATTAATGTTATTGTCTCTTTTCAGGAAGAATAGATGTAATTTTTCTTGTTTACTCTCGCCCCGACTCTGACACTACAGCTGTAGATGATAAACTGCTGTTACAGTAAAAACGCGCGTGTAAGAACCTAGTGGTTTAAGAATCTGCTGGCAGGAATTTGCTATTTTAAAACCTAAAAATATAAGAATGTACATTTAGTGAATGTCACCAGGAACAAACTTCATTTTAAAGCGTGTTAATGTTTCGTTGCTTTCCTTTAGGATGAAAATATGCGACTTGAGCCTCACGAATTCAAACAATGCTTGGTTAGTTTAGGATACAACCTGAAGGAAGGAGACAAGGTTTGTTAATTAGACTAACGTGTCATGCATTTGCTAGTCTCCTCCGCAGCCGTTTTTTGGGGGGATGTCACGCAACGCTTGCTTGACATCCCAAAAAACGGCTGCGAAGGAAACTATACATTTGCCAACCACTTCGACTCTTTACTTGAACCAATGAAATTAACTGGGCTGGAAAAGCCCATTTGGTGTAAACAAGTGATACTTCATCACTGCCTAAGAACTTGTAGCAAGACCAACGAAATTTACAACATGGCGTTATGTTGAGGATTCCGAGGGGAGAGGAATTTTGGAACTGAGGAAAATAGATGTGTTGTTCCAATAAAACAGTGGCTTAAACTTAGGTTGTAAATAGTAATAATGCAGTGTCAAATTAAAAACGATGTTTATAGCAGACGTTTCGGGCCTAGCCCTTCCTCAGTGCTAAGTTTTGAGTGGGACACGTCATTAAACTTAGGCCCTGTATGCAAGGAGCTAGGGTAACCTTAGTGCTAGGGATACCCTACTTCCTTGCGCCCAAGTCTAACAGGTTTCTGTTTTTGTTTTGTTTTTTGTTTTGTTTTGTTTTGTTTTTTTGTTTGTTTGAGGTGGTTAACAACGGTTTCCAGCATTTTCCAATACTTTTTCGATCAGATTAATGCTATCACTCTTTTTCAACTGATGCCATGATTATGGTAATTAACATTTTATTTTGACAAAACAGGTAACGTACAATTAAAATCAATTTTCTAATTTACATAATTTCCTCAAACAGCATTGAGTCAAGTTCTACTCGTCTTTTAGCGGAAAACAATTTAGGAATTCCAATGTACTGGTCATCGTGGCCATATTGCTGGTTTTCAGTGTCACACAATTCAAAATAGATCAAAATAAAAATCAAAACCCGTCAATAGATAAAGTCCAGAATCTNGACTGTGTGGTGTAACTGACCCTTTTCGAAAGAGGTTGCTCAATCGTGATCCCTCCCTGTGCTATTTTGCATGAATTATTCCGGACGTGTGGGTACTTTCGAAAGGCTATGACCAAATGATCAATGTCATATTATAAGATGTATTTTGCATCACTGAAATAAAATTCATTCACAGCACATCAGTAAGCACACGAATAACATAAGCACACCACATGTTCTCTTTTCAAATTATAAGCCGGAACAACGAAGAACTCAGTTGTTTCCAGTGTTCAACACAACAAGGTGGTTGTCTGTTCTGTATAAACAGGAATTTAATTAGCTTATTATGACATGTTGTATCCAATGTTGTAGCAGAATATCCGTGGCCGTCTTTCAAGTGCGCGTGCGCCGAGGTTTACTTTTAGCCTACTGATTTGTTACAAACCTTGTACCAAGAACATCACATTTCACCACGACGTAACTGAGCTATTTCTTCTAGCTTGTACGCACTAGCTTCACACTAAAATTCCTACCTTTCTTGCTGTTTTGTTCCAGCCGTACATCACTACAGAAGAATTGAGACGCGAGCTTCCACCAGATCAAGCTGAGTACTGCATTGCTCGAATGGCTCCTTATGAAGGACCTGATGCAGTACCTGGGGCTCTGGACTACATGTCCTTCTCAACTGCTCTATATGGCGAAAGTGATTTGTAATTCTGGAATCTAGAAACTCTTTTATATATTACTCTACCGTGATACAAGGGGAGGGATAGTGCGGGGAGTCATACAAAGGAATTTCCTGGCATTGTTTAGTTTCTAAATTATACAGTAGGCTCCATCTAGCTAAATCTTATGTACGTCGCTGAGGAGAACACACAGTGCTTTTACTGGTATCATGTAATATTCATTTGACTTTAGGACAGGGAAAGCGAGGTGGTTCTCAAAGACCGCTAGTAACCCGAATCAGGTCGAATTCGTTTGATTTTTGCATTTCTGTTTTCCTGCGTCCGCTTCATTAAGCTGGTTAAACATTAACAATGTTTGTATGCAAAATAGTTTTGAAGGAAATAGCTATTGCCAATATATTTTCTGTATATCGTATTTTTCTCGTTGCTAGAGCACGCCGAGCCATTACAAAGCGACAGAAACACGAAGCAGATTCGACGGAATGTGTCTCCTGCTAAAACAAAATCTAGGGTTGATTTTGTGTTTTGTTTTTCTCGTATCCTCGGAAAATTGCAGACATTCGACACTGTTTCTTGTCACTTGGACGACAATGGAACTCCAGTATTGTGCGTCTACAAGAAAACAGTGGGATATGTGGAGTGAGCTCTCGGCCTCTTAACAGGCACACCGTTGCAGACATATCGCCTAATTAAGGGACTAGGTCACCATCTCCGCATTCATATCCTCGTAAAATTAGGTTCATAAATTATTGTTGAGCAGGTCTTGCCGACAACTCGTGATTGTTGTGTGTGGAGCTCGAAGGTAACCGTAGGCAACTTGTTTCTTATTTTCAGACATTTACATCAAGCTTTCAGTAGATTTTTTCCTCCATCTTATTATGCACCAGAATCACCTAATATAGCACTACCTAGTCCCTCTATGCCCAGTAGTCATTCGGAGAACAGTTTTAAAATTTTCCTTGTGATTCAGAGAGGTATTTCCTTCTCTTCCTTAACATAACTTGTATACTTAGGCGCCCGTAATATTTTGATTAGAAATGGAAACTACATAAAGGTATCCGAGATAAACAACAAATTAAAATTCATAACAAACTATCCACGTGAACGTTATGTTTGGTTTGTCTCTAAGTCGCCTTCCCTTTTCCTATCCGCTTTTCTAAACTTACACCACATGCTACGTAATCCTTTCCTAGTTGTTCGATAGACATGTCCCCGAAAAGGAACCCTGTACGCACTTATGCAAGTCCTGGTGAGAGCGTAACATTTAGTGTCTATACTGTTGGGTGGGGGGACGATGTTGGTATCCCCTCCTAATCTCAAAAACTATGGGCTAAGACCCCCTCCGAATCTCAATCCCAAATAACGGCTTCGGAGTTTGTCCGCTACCGTCATAGGCGTACAGGCTGGGGGTTGCAGCCCCCCACCCCCCATCCCCCAAGGGCTAAGAAAGAACTGGCTGGGAGTAAAGTGGCCGGAGTCGGGTGGCGGGAATGGCCGATCCTCGACTAGAGAGCCATTCAAAGAGTTTTCAAGGCTTAAAAGGCTACTTTCTCTGACTTTCTCCTTTGCCAAACGAACTAAAAGTCAGATGAAATGAGGGATCCAGGTATTGCGTTTTAGAAGAGCTACGAACATATCGGTTAAATGTGTATCGTGGAAATCCACGATAATGATGTTATTTCCACTCCCAATTTTCCATCAACAAAACACCTGCATTCTTCATCTTCGGGTATACACTAAACTTTCAACGTGACCAGTTCCCGGAGTGCCTGATAGCTCAGTTGTTACAACACTGCACCGGTACTGCGGAGATCGTGGGTTTGATTTTTTTAGGATTTATTTCACAGCTACTTCAAGCACAAATCTTCTCCAAAACTTTCTTTTTCGCCATAAATCAGTCCGATTGACCGTTCTTAGCCCCTGCCCCCCCCCGGGGGAGGGTACTCCCTTATATGGGCTATATAGGTATGTGCGGCCCCAAAGGGTATGGTTTTTCAGCCGTTTTGGTCATAAATAGGGTATCGATTTTAGCTGATTTTGGCCATTTTGGTCATAAATAGGGTATGGTTTTTGCACTCCAGCCTTGATGTGAATATGTTTTTAAGAAAAAGCCACTTTTTCATCACTATCGAAAAGAAAATCAACAAAAGCCCTTCACAAGTTATGTTTACGGTAATTTAACATTGGTATGGACTAGGGAACTAATTATAACGCAGGTCTGAAACAGGGTTTTGATTTAAGGGTCAGGTCATAGATAGGGTTTTGAATTATGGGTCAGGTCATCAATAGGGTAGGGAATATCGCAGATTTTGGTCACAAATAGGGTAAGGGTCGGGTAAGGGTTTTGGGAAGCGGGCCGCACAATCCCACCCAATTTTTCTGGGAGTATCCCCCCAGGTCTTAGCCTCTAACGAGCAAAATTTGGCTCGATGAAGGAATTCAGACATTTTTGGTTAAGTTGTGTACATAACTACAGTGAGACCTGTATTAAGCGGACCCCATATTAAGCGGACACCCTCTATTAAGTGGACACCAGCTGAAGTCCCAAAATTTTTTCTCACATTCTCTGTAAAATAAATCTGCATTCAGCGGACACCTCTGTTAAGCGGACGCGGACACCGATATAATTTTAAGCCATTGTGTTGCACAAAACCTGCAATAAGCTGACACTTCAAGGGTTTTTTACTTCAAAAAGTTCAGCTGAGACTCCTTTAACATCGTTCAGCGATGTTGTTTTACAGCTAAGTGATTATTCCAGATTGATGCATTGATTGACTGGACTTTGTGCTATGTTAGTTTTTGATCTTACACACGTTACACTGTTTTACAAAAGAGTTTTAACTCTTATATTATACTTAACTATTATATTGCACAACATATTTTGAGCGGAGGGTCCCAACGGTGTCCGCTTAATACTGGTTCCACTGTACAATGATCATGTATTTATATCTTTAGCCGTAGTTCAAAAATATGATTTTTCATGTATTCACTTCTAATGACGTCTAAAGAATCAAAGCGAGCGAAGTCAAGATTTGTTTTGAGGTGGCTCTGAAAAGAGCCGTTTTGAACGGCTACACATTGAGCGTTTTAAATTTCTTCTTGAAGCCCTCGTTCGGGCTTTGTTGGAGGGAAGACATACCTTTTTCTTTTATTTTTTAAAGACTTCTGATTCTACCAGGCTGTCGATCGAGGTCATGGAATATGCGAGGTTCCAAAATAACTATTTTGGAACTATTAAAATTTCATTAGACGTGAGAATTGTAAACGTTTGTATCCCGATTTCTACACTCACGCATTCGGGCATTGTGCAACGACGATGAATGACCTTTTGGGTATCGAGCCGAAAAAAAATGACAGGAGGTCAGATAATATGTGTTCCTTTAGAACTGGTGTTTCTTAGGGGTGAAAAAAAAAAGTCAAGTCTCTCCCATAAAGCAGGATCTTGGTACCTCTTATTTAAGCTTCCTTTGAAAATTTCCGATGAGCACCCCGCCCCCCGCGCCCTTTTTATATGGGAGTTCCCCTGGGATGAATGAGGTTGAGGTTTCCTAGAAGGACACAAGCGCTCCCTTGATCGTAGTGACTTGCTTGATTGTAATGCAGAGGTGGATCCAGGGGAGGGGTTGAGGGGGTTCCAACCCTACCCCCCTTTGAACAGCATTTATTGTTACTTGTTTGACTCATCATAAAAATTATAGAATATAATTGTTTTATACGTAGTTGTTTCACTTCCACCAATTGACTGTTTGTTAAGTTAGGAAAAGATAATGTACATTACGCATTATTATTTTTGGTTTTTTGGTTGAGAAAGCCTTCTCTCGCCGCGCTTCTCTCCCCTATTCAGTTCCGCTCGCCGTTTTTCGCGCTGCGCCCCAACTACAAGTAGCTGAACGCCTGGAAGAGGTAAATAAAAGGGAAACTCCAGATTTTATATCATGCCTTCACAAACGTTTTTGAAGTGTCAGGAATGCTGTGACCCACGGCCCAGACCCCCTAGTAGCTCGCTGCTATGGGCTCACCATTTGATCAAAGTTACTGTTTTTTATTTTTTGTTACAGGTTAAAAATCCAAATAATTTGCCAGAATATTACCGATATTTATTGACTAGTGCCGTTTTGTGTGTGTGTGTGTGTGTGTGTGTGTGTGTGTGTGTGTGTGTGTGTGTGTGTGTGCTGATGCAGTTCTACATTATTCTGAATATTAGGATTTTAGTAACATGGGCAAGCTGGCAAGAAACGCGTTCGTTAAATATTAGGGCGTCGCATCCGGTAATGTGAACAGTATGTGGAGTTTGGTATTGCCAGAATGTTTGGCGTGGCTGCAAGGCTGGCATGGCTGAAATAAAATTGACGATTATCTCAGCGGACGATTTCCGAATATTCCCGAAGTTGTTCCCAATGGCTTTCGTAAGGTCACGTGTCTTTTACAAGGCAATGCTGAAATCGAAGGTCACGAACTTTTCGTCAGTTCTCTGATCTGAGCTTCGTGTGGATAGTTTTGTGAATCTCTGTTTCTCTGTTCAATATTGTGTTTTTGGGGTTGACACAGGAAAATGGTATAAAGGATTCTTCTTCAACCGGAAGCAATCCACAGCCCTTAGTTTGGTTTGTGAGCACTGAACTGAATTTTGTCAACTCGATCTGCTCTGTGTTCGTGAAGCAACAAGGTTACTGCTGAATTTTCGTCGTGTATGCAACAAGAAAAAAAATCAGTCATGAGTAACACTGGAAAGAAGTCAAAATGGAACTTATCTGTGTTTATAACGAATTTGAGTACCGAGAAGTCGGTAGAAGTAAATGGAGAGACCCACGTTGGAAAACTGATGCTGGACCTTGTCGAAGGACTCGGTAAGTGTTTACAATGATAACGGCGCGTCTGTGATTCAATACCACGGCGTTTTAAACGGGTGTGGTGCTGATGTCGTGCTTTAAAACCAAGCTTATACTTCTGGTGAGAATGAGGGGAAAAACGTTTTCCCGTGACGTTCTATATTTCTATGTTGAGATGTTATTCACGGTGACATTTCAGGTATTTACTCTTGTTATGTATTGGAATTTGAAAGCAAATGAGCAGCCAACAAATTTGTATGATCAAATTACGGCTTTTTGGGCGCACGGAACGTTTTCATCATGTATTTTGCCCTTCACTTTAGTAAATAGTGTAGGTTATATGTCGTATTTACTCTGCAGATATAGCGGCTGACTGGTCTGATCATGGATTATGGTGGCCTCAGAAACGACTGTGGCTTCTAAAACCTCGCTTAACTTTAGACACTATCGGGGTTCAAGGTGATGCCATACTTCAGTTCACTCCAACTCATAAAAAAGTTCGCGTTCAGTTGCCAGACTTACAATTTGTTGAAGTTTCACTGGACTTTTCTAAGCCAGTTTTTCATGCCGTTCAAGAGCTGTGTGCCGAATTAGGAATCAGACATCCCGAAGAACTCTCTCTGCTGAAACCGTTCGATGGGCTGAAAAAAGAAGGTCGGAGGAGTTTTCGCGGAAAATTAAAGAAAAGGCATTCACAGTCTTCCCTTAGTTCAGATGACAACTTATCTGCGAACAGTGACGACAAAACGAGAGGAAGTAAGGATAGTTTAACACCCAATTATAATTCGTTGCCCAGGCATGGCTACGCTTCGCCGAACGGCAGTGTGTGCACTCCGTCACCTGGATTATCGCCCGGTTATTCAGATGGGCCCTATGGAACGATCGAAACAACTTCATTAGCTAGCAGTCCGGTCTCTCCTTCACAAGAAGCTATTGCATCTCTATTTAAGCCCAAAACTCTTCAAGAAAAAGCTGTTGTCAATAAAGGGTACGTAAACACGGTTTTGTTACTATTGTCCCTTAGATATGCGTATCCCGGATCGCCAACTACCCTTACTCGAAAATTTTTATTTAATGTTAGTATTACAGTATTTGCAGTATTAAGAGAAGTCCTGCAAAATTCCGATAACCGCCATACCTGCAAAAGTAAGGCCCCAACTCATGGGCAAAAATCCTAAAAAAAGACTTCATGGTATAACAGTAAATTGTACTAAATGACAAGACGGAACAAACAATACTCTACCAAAACAGACCAAACCGTAGATTAACAGTCATTAGAAAATAGCCAAAAGAAACTACGCATGCTAATTGGTTTAAAATCCTGTTTCTATTTAACAGTTAAATTATGAGCTCGAGATTTCTATTACGTGATACGTTGACTTGGGCTACACCCTTGTCAACTATCACGCATAGAAATCAAGAGCAAATAATCTAATTGTTTTAGTATAAATCTACTAGTCCTTCAAAAGTTTTTTCTAAATCTCCTCACAGACACTTCAAAAATGCAAAGAAGCGGCCATAATTTTATTAGCAAGTGCACACAAGTTTGCCACTCACTACCTACAACAGAATAGATACATGGAGTAGCCTAGCCAATCAGTGAATGGCATTCATGATAGAATACTGGTAGATTTATACTAAAACTCAATAAAAACACAGAACTAGCGCAAGCTGTTGACCTAATGATGGCATGAGCATAGAAAATTTGCATTTTGATGATCAAAGTAGACAAGCTGTTTTCTTTTTTTCATTGTGGAATTTTCTAAGAGAAATAGAAAACATGTTCTCTGTGTTTCTATTTGTAATAAGTCGACAGCCATCCACATTGTTGTGTAAGTTTATTGGGTGAGACGATATGGCCGACTCACATGTGTGAACAACCATTTACAAGAAATCATGGGAGAATCGCTTTAGACCAAAGCATGATGGGTAACATATTTAACAATAAGATTCTGAGCTCAAGATTTCAATGAGGTGATAGTCTCGTAGAAATCAAGAGTGAATAATCTAATTGTTTTAGTAGAATTCTAACTGAATTCTAAACGCAAATCATGGTTTCCAATTATTTTTCCGCATATTATTAAACTTCACACTTTAACAAAGTCGCACTGACTGAATTGTCGTTGGAAATTTGCACACAGTTGCTTATGGCCGTCGATAAAACCCGGAACGTGGAACATTCCGGAACATCCCGGATAATTATCATAATTATGCAAAAAATATGTAACATTAAACTTTTAAAACTAAAATAAAAATAAACTGGTATCAGCTTGAAATATGAACAAATATTATTGGGGATAGGGGAGTCGGTAGCAGAGGGGTAGGGAGCATTGGGTATTCATTCAACTGACCACAGTGAGTGCAGGCTCCTCTTCTTTCTCACCAATTGCATCACGTCGCTTTTCAGCACTCTGTTTTTCAACACAAACATGGAAGATTCTGATGATGAATGCCAGGTAATTCATTGCGTCTCCTTTTTTGATCCCTGATTTCTTCAACATTTGAGGTGTTTGTCTGAGCATCATGCAGTTGCTTGTTAAGTCAGTATTCATAGTTTTGTCCTTATTCCATCTTCATGTTGCTATTTATCTTCCCCAGTTTTTGCACCACTCCGCTAGGAATGCCTGGCACTATGACCCACTAAGTGCAGACTCGGCCTTTCTGGAAGCCCGAGTAACAAGCAGGTTATCATTAATAAACTAGTGGTAATCAAAGATTTATAGAACAGCGCGTTCATGCGCAGTTTCGCATGTCTGGTTTACTTTGGTGGTGTTCAAATGGCTCGATAGAAAACTAAGTTTGATCAAATGTCAGATAACGATCTGCACGTTAAGTTGAACTAGCGATGAATAGATTATAGCCTGCAGTGAAAGTATTTTTAATTAATTAAGTATTAACTTGTACTGGACAAACATTTTCCAGGAGATGCATTTGAACTGTTGGCGACACTTGGAATTCACTTTCAGATCGCCAACACTTGTAACAAATATTTCTAGAGACAATAAAGTTTTGACCAGCGACCCTGCAAGACAGCGTGCGTGTCGCCAAATGTTTTTAAATTTTGTGTTTGTATTTGTTTACACTGTCATCAGAGGTCGAGCGGTCTGAACTAGTTTAGACAAGAAACTCAATGCCAAAATCGTGTATACGCATATCTTTGTATTGATGTAATGAATTTAATAAAGAAATCACAGTTGTGTACCTATACTTTTAGGTCTGATTAAGGAGTTCGAACGCCACCACCTTAGTTTTCTGTGAAGAATGAAATCTGGGAATAAAGGACAGTCACGTGATTAAACTGACGGTGAACGACTGGAAGGAATGGATTACTCTTCTTAGTTGCTAGCCTTCACTCATTGCAGTCACTTTCATTTTTCTTTCTTTTTTCCTATTTTTATGTTTTTGTTTTGTTTCTATTTTCCAAGCTGATACCAGTTTATTTTTGTTTGATTTAATTTTTTAAAATTTTATTTTACGTATTTTTCGTGTAATTATGATAATTATTCGATGTTCCGGGATGTTCCGGAATGTTCCATGTTCCGGGTTTTATCGATGGCCATTGCTTATGCACTCGCACTGGCTTTCTCAATAATTTCAAGTTTTTAAAATCAAAAAATCGTTAATGACCTTCTTTTAGTCTTCTCAGGAATTTAATTATCCATTTGCATCTAAATGTTCCTCCAAAATTTCGGGAAAACGAAAAACAAGCGCCATTTCATAGACGACCGACAGCCACTGCACTCTAATAGTTCTTCCAATCTTCCACTCGTGTTTCTACACCTCGATAGAAACGTGGTACATGTTTTCTGTTTCTTAATTAGTAGCCACGTAGCTATGCTCCATTGGAAATCTGTGAATCTGATTGGTTCTCTTATGGTTTTCTATTCTGTAACCCTAACCCCTGAGACAAAGATCACACAAGCACTGCTCTTGAAACTGGATATTATTCTTAAGTTTAGGCTTAAAAATACACAAAATTGTAGTTTTTGTGCCAGCTGTTATCCTTTAGAGTGCCTACTAAAACAGTTAGACTACTTACCTTTGTTTTCTTTGAGCTACCCCTCATTGACTAATCGGCTTTTTGCTCATAGAAAACGTGGGCTTGTAGTCTAATTATTAGTTATCAGTAGAATTCTACTAGTACACTAATGTAAATGCTGCAATCTGATTGGCCAAGCTAATGCACAGCATAAGTGTGCAATAGCTGGAGCATGTCCACAAAGGGAGATTTAGAAATTTAATTTAACAACATCTGAAAACAAGTGTTTGTTTAAGTAGTTTCAGGGCTTGAGGAAAAGGGATAACAATAAGAACCAGTTGACTTGTAGGATGTATAGCTGTAATGTATTGATCTTTACCCACCATAGGCTGCATCTCCATTTAAACCACCTCCTTTGGCTTCAGAAATTACAAAATACTCCAGAACTCCACAACCCCCCCCTTCTTGCCTTCAGCATTCCAAACTGTTCTACTCCCATACCCTCATGGTACTTTTCAGCCCAGTGAACAAGTAACACAAAGACAAAACATAGGAGTCTTCATGAAAAACTCACATGATATGTGAAAGTAGTAGCCATATGGTCATGTTAATTGTGATCCATTTTCATTGTCCTTATCAGATGGCTGGACTCTTCAAAGTCTCTTATGGCTCAGGTATGTTTTATGTACAAAGCGCTCGAAAGTAATTTGCTGTCCTTGTCCTATGTATTTCAAAATGTTCTTGTGTTATTTTAGAATAGATGCTCTTGAGAAAGACCACTCTGTGATCCATTTCTGGATTGGTGAAACCAAAAGGAGAGTGTAGTTATCTGAATCCAGTAGTGCTTAGCATCTCACTACCCATTCTTCAAAACTTAACTAATGATAACAATAAATGTGTTACAAGCAACAGTTTTGCTTCCAGTTTCTGCTTAAGACATACTAAGATATAGTTGCCTGAGCTGAAACTTATAAAAGAAGAGATGTGCTTCATCTTTTTACTTTAAACACATATATAACAACTCCTATGGTTCGTGACATTTGTGCATTTGCCATTCTCTTTTAATTTTCGGGCTCTCAATTTTTCACTATTTTATACGTGATTCTGAAGGGTACTTTATGCTGTGTTATGAGGAGGAATTTTAAGTAGAGTGGAACCATTTGTCTATGCTATTGCAAGTTTTCTTTTAGAGGTCAATGGTATGGTTTCCGGACTTTCCGCTGTTATTTGCATGTTGCTTTGTAGAGTTTGACACCTATCATTTGCCATGTGCTTGTAATTTCTTTCAGTGTTGCATAAAATGTTTTAAGCTCTCTAAGTATCGGCTCTGGAGGGACAAGTTTGAAATATTCCCTGAACATGTTGCAGACGTGCATTCAATATTATGACGCTGGCTCAGGCGATTAGAACTGTTTACGAGTACAGAAAATGTAACTTCTTGATAGGTCTAATTACCTCATTGACCAATAATTCGTTACAGGCTAATCACCAAGGGTGGATGGGCACATCAAAAACAAAGTCTACAGGCTCCCCCGTCCTACTCTGACCACTTCACTCTCCAAATTCTTCATTTTCGCACTCGTCTGCTCGCTTTGCTCGCCTAATTTTTTTTTTCCATCCTTGTAGGGAGCCTGTTCGCAGGCTGAATCATCCAGATTTTATAGTATGCCCAAGCTCAAATTTCCTCAACTACAAAGCCAAAATAATGTTTGGAATCCTTTGACATTGCTAAGCAAAGATCTGTTGTCTAAGAAGAATTAAATGAGTTATGCCGTGGAATGTCTAAGATAATTTCAGACTGCGGGGCATCTAGTATTTTGAAAACACTTCCCAGCTGCCGGATATCTATCTACACAATGTGACTAATATTTGTTTGGTTTGAAGTTTATTTCTATTTCAGAACTCTACTTGCAAAGTGCACTCATTGGTTTGATTTGAGCTTCTTTGGCTCTGTCAACACATTGGTTGCAAGTGACAATGAAAGAACGCTTTCACACACTCTAGTTGATTCCAGAAAACAACTCGGGTCTTGATGAACTTATCAATTATGCGATTCAAACTTAAGAAATCCAAGTTTCATACACCTTTAAAGGAACAAAATTTCAGGCAAATAGACCAAAATAAATGTTAAATTCACTCCCAACTGAAGAGCCGAACAACTGACTGTGAAAAAGAACGATTTTCAGAAACTTCTATGCTTTGAAGCCTTGTGATGTTCCAAAGGAAATTAGTGTTTGATTGGCTCGTCCCAAATGCCAACAACATCCGACTACATCCTAATATGGCCAAAAAATCTCACTGACACACTGGAAATCGCTTGTGCGAAATTCGAGCTGAGAAAATCTGAGATTTTTTCTGCATAGCCTTCAAAAAGTCCTTCAAACTACACGCGGCTCTATATACTGCCGTCTCGTGAGGCTCATGTTTTCGCTCGCCTGACTTGTTTGCAATAAACTAAATGTAATTTTGAGATGGCATTACCGCATTATATTGGTGGTTCGTTGGGACAAAATATATTCTCACCAGAGTCACATAGTGACGGAGCCCAATATGAGAATATATTTTCTCCCAACTAGCTGTCAATATATCCAAATATTGTGACATTTAGCATTTTTCATCTCTTGAGAAAGGTGTCCTGAAAATGGTTCTGAAAGCTTGTTAGCTGAGTATGTGGATTGTACTTAGGTAGCTTTATTTTTCTTGGTTTTTGTTTGAGGCTGGACGTCAGACGTTACGTCCAGATGTTTACCATGTTATGTCCTGTACTTTGATGCCATGTAATAATGTTTTAAGGTATCCAGGTACCGGGTACAACATGATAAACATTAAGTTTCTCACCAAATGCCTTACATCTTTTTTTAGAATAAAGATTTTTCAATCCCATGTTCAGTTCAGTTGGAAATCATTTTGTTGCCAACCCCCCCCAACCCCACTAGGCGTCCATGCATTTGCTGGTCTCTGGAATGCTGGAAACAATATTTCTGAGAGCTTCATTCCAAAACTTTTCTTGGGATCATGCACCAAGTACCCTTAACCCCACTCCCTTAAAGACTAGTGCCCTCGGAACAGGCAAACTGTTGGCTTCCAGTCCTATTGGGAAGAAATCTGGCAGTTACAGTAAGTTTTGTTTTTTGCAGGATGTTGCAGAATTCTCCACTCTTCTTTTGAGATATAAGTACTATGCATTCTTTGATCTAAATCCAAAGGTAAGTGAAACTTGTTGCTTATCCTTGTTATTGTAACTTTGTGGTTCCAGAAAATATCTCTACCCCCACCACAGAAGGAAGCCCAAACTCGAAAATTACGAATCAGTGGAACATAGACTTGAATATTTTAGGATAAGAAAGTGGGCAAAAATTTCATTTCATAGGCACTTAAGACCTATTTTGAAAATGTTCTGTAACTTTTTACTGCAATTGAATATGACAAAATGCAGACACTTCTTTTTAGCACTTCAGGTCCTGTCACCGAGGAAAAAATTAAATTGGTGAGATACAAAATTTGCTTTGACTTGTAGCTTTCAAAAGGTGATTTGTGCGCTCACATTTTGTGGTCCTTAAAAATTTGACAAGTCAATTTTTTTTTTCAAAATTCTTGGTACAGTTGGATAGCCAGCTTGATAAGCTTTAATGTGATATATGGGTTTAGGTATCCACAGTTTAAACCGGACGTACTACATCACTTTTATGTGAGACCTTAAACCTGAGAATTTAGAACTACATTCTAATGGTATTTTTTAGTGAATGCAGTCCAGTTGAACAATTGAAATTGTTTCCTGAAATGTCCTTGAAATGTCCTTGAATATTAAGTCAAAAAAGGAGTATGAACCCTGTTAATTTAGTCAGGTTCCACTGGCACTTAAACTAATTTTGATATTAGAGAGCTTAAGCACAGACGTTTTTGAGCCACAGACTTCAACCAGAAGTCGAAATTTCTCCTCTTTGACATGTATTACTCCCTTTTCATTGAAAATGTCAAGTTGTAAATGCTAAAATGAGAGCTTTGTAACTCAGTGGTTGGACATGAAAACGTGCTAAAAGTAAGAAGATAAAGTTCCGGTTGACGTCCGTGGCTCAAAAATGTCAGTGCTTAAGCTCTCTACTGTGTTTCTACCACCAACTGAACTAATTAGGTGGATGAGGTGCGAATTAATCAGCTGTATGAACAAGCCAAGTGGTCAATCTTAACAGAGGAGGTAGAGTGCACAGAGGAGGAGATGATGACATTTGCTGCCATACAGGTCAGGCCACTATGATGTAGTTCTTCCCAATGGTTATCATAAAGAGCAATGTGATTTTTACGCCAAAAAAATCCTTTTGAGTCTTCTTGAATTTTTGTAAACTTATCTAACCATTAACCTGATTGATGAAATATACACAAAGGTTATAGTTTCCCATGTTGCGTTTTTTCTAGTAAGTTGACAAGTTGTCCTTTGGCCTTTCATATGCTTGATGTGGCCTTATCAAAGTCATTAATAATTCATCAAGTTTAAACAAAGGAATCATAACCCTGACAGTGCTTGGGTGCCTGATCTTAATTACCATATTTACCCGCGTATTAGTCGATCCCGTGTATAAGTCGACCCCCAATTTTTGAGGCCAAAAACTAGATTTTCTTGACTTCCAGGTAAGAATTTCTTGAAATCTTATCTTGTATTTCTTAAAATTATCTTTCAGCTACCACAGATATGTAAACAAATCACAGCAAGTTTCAATGCGCAGTTTTAAAGCTTATTATGGCACATATGTGAGCGTTTTACCCCGTTTAGCAACACGTGTGCATGCGGGCTTTTCGACGATAATTTTTGTAAAATGCTCACAAAATCAAACATAAGGATTTCAAACAAACCTTTTTACGTGCAAAGAGATTAAAAGTGGCTTTATAAGACAGGCAAAACACCAAAGAAGCTCACGACTTTCAGAACGGCGCCATAAACAAAGTGCAAAGCATGTGTTGGGAACTTGGTAGTCAAGCCTTGAAATCGGTCAAGTACTGGTACAGAAGTACTGGCACTCATATCCTGCCAGGTTACCAAGCAGAGAAGTTCGAATCGCAAAAGATGTTTTCTCCAAGCGGCTTTACTACAGCTTTATTTACAGGATAAATATTGGTTCTTTATGACAAAATTGAGCCAGTGAGTGTCTACAAGATTCAGGTTAAAATTTAACGGATAAATTTTGATACATTTTAACTTGGTAGCTCTGATATAGAGAGACAGATCGCTAAGCGAACATACGTTGTAAACTGTGCTGCCGCTTATCACATGTTTGTTAACATTGAAAGACAATTATTATGCTAATTATTTGACTGGTGCTTGGGTCTCAAGTTTTGACCCATGTTTAAGTCGAGGGCAAATTTTTGGACTGATTTTTAGGTCTTGAAAGGTCGACTTATACACGGGAAAATACAGTAGCATAGATTTGTATGATTTTATTTCTCCATTTTCTCCTTAGTTTTGGTTTCGATTGAGAAGATATGTCAAACACTCCAGACAGTGTTGGAGCATATTTCCAAACACCTCGAAGTTCATCAAAAATACTCCGCTATGTGTCGTATTTTCAATTTTCTTCTTAGTGTTTGGAAATGTGGTCAAACACAATCTTTCATGTTTAATACATTACATCAAAATAATGACATAAGCATGCCAAAAAATGTATACTTGGGATGATCCTTCATGTCTTCACATCCTTCTCGGCAGTTTTAATGTATGATCTTACATGCAGTGTATATTTACTTATATTCTTCACCATCGACGGGTATATTACGAACTCACAACGTGACCAGCTCCCAGTTAGCTTGATGGCTCAGTTAGTAGAGCACTGCACTGGTATCACAGGTCATTGCTTTGAATCTCGTTCAAGCCTGAATGTTTTTCAGCCTTTAATTAACTTGACAGCTAGTTGTGCAGTGTATAATGCTGATGATCTTCATCTCTTTAATTCCAATACTTCTCCTGAATTTCTTTAACAGTGTACTGAACATGTTTTTTCCAACTAAGATTAGAGTTGCGACAGGAGAATTTTACTAATTTGTCTCACAATGGAGTCACTTTGAGATGTTGATCGCAATCAACATCTCAGTGACTCCATCGTGGGACACCCTGCTATCTGACTTCCGATTTCCTGACTGAATCCTTACTGCTGCACCACCCTGTAATAATGGATTAATTGTAAGGGAATACAGCTATTAGTTCATCACAGTTTGGTTGAAACCACTGATTGATTGATGATTACAGCAGGCTTAAATGATTTGCAAAGGGAGCTACTGCAAATTCAAATGGTTGTTATTTTCTGCTGGAAATCACTCAGTATGCCCACCAAATGACTTGTTTTGCTGGCCATGTTATCCAGCATGGATATTTTGGATGCTGGATGGGTTTTTCATTCTCACTCTCCACTGAGGTCCGGAGATTGCTTGGTGCGTACTCGTGCTCATAAAAGTCATCTGACTACAAAGCACATGGTTTGTTCTAAAACCTTAATAATTCATCATTTTGGTCAGTTTGGGGCCTGCTCTTGTGTGAGTAATTTCTATCCCTGATTCAATGTGTCCTTTTAGTGCAATGAGGGAACAAAGATGTTTGTGCAAGTAAATGTATGAAATATCATATAATTATTTGAACTGTGGAGAAAGATATGAAGACATGACTGATCATCGCAGTTATATACACAACTTAAGCAGTAGTTGTGAAATTATAGCCAACTTTAGCAGTTGTAAAATTAAATTTCACAACTGCTTTTAGTTGTGTATAGAACTGCGATGATCAGTCATGCCTTCATATCTTTCTCCGCAGTTCAAATATATGATCTTTGATATATTCACTTGCATTCTACACCATCTACAGGTATGTTACAAACTCACAACATGATCAGCTCCCAGTTGGCTTGATAACTCAGTTGGTAGAGAACTGCACTGGTATCACAGAGGTCATGGGTTTGAATCCCGTTTAGGTCTCAATTTTTTTTTCAGGCTTTAATTTCACAACTACTTGTTACAAGTATATAACTGCGATGATCAGTCGTGTCTTCATAAAGATGTTTGTATAACTCAAGTCCTAAGGACAGAAACATCGATATCAGAATAACCCTTGACTTGATAGGGTAATTCTAAAGGAAAGGAGACATAGAATAAATATGGATTTGGGCTCACTTGAAAGAAATTAAGTCAATTATAGTTATTTATCTGTAAAGTACTGTGTACATAACACAGTCAGCTTTTTATTAGAACTCATTGCAGTTGTAATGATCAAAACAGCTTAAGTGTTCCACCTAAATAAATTCAAAGATTATTGCCCCTGCAGGCTTTCCAGCCAGAGCCTACATGACAATTTTAGCCTGATCAAGTAATTCCCTTCGCAATGGCAGAGATTTTAGAACAAATTTAAAGTCCTTAAAATCTTTTTGACCACCCTTGTGATAACATGACCTTTTCAAATATCACGAGTTGGCTTAAAAGCGTTTTGATATCACTTTTACCTTTTCTTTTCCTTTCTCTTAATTTGGGTGTGCAAAGTAAGGTGTTGCAAGGCGAGAAGATAATTATTAAGAGTTAATTGTTACTTCACTTTAGAGGATCTCCATTTGATAACACCACTTATTATGTGGCTGTGTCTCACAAGGACTGGGAACTACCGAATTCCTGAATTTGATAGGCTGAAATCGATATTGACCACGGTCTAGATTTTCCCATCTAGACCGGCATCTAGACCGGTTTCATTTTGCATTGAAAAAGTAGCAAACTCAAATACGAAAATGTTCACCGTTTTCTTTTAGTTTCTTTTCAATCATTTATGGAAGTGCCAAAAAGCCTGATGACAAAAAAAAAGTAAAGAGGACAAGCAAATTTCGGCAGGTTTAAGTTAAGCTCATCTC